GGTGGGGGGGGCACTGGAGGGGGTGGTGGCGGGGGTGGTGGCGGTGGTGGTGGTGGGGGTGGAGGCGGCGGTGGTGGCGGGAGTGGAGGCGGTGATGGCGGCAGTGGAGGTGGCTGGGGTGGTGGAGGCAGTGGAGTGGGCGGAGGGGGTTCGGGTGGAGGTCGTGGTGGAGCTGGCAGGGGCGGAGGCTCTGGGGCAGCGACTGGTGGTGCAGCTCGTGGCGGCGGAGGCACTGGGGGTGGACAGCAGCAGCAGCCACACACCCCTCAGGAGCTTCGTGAGTGGGTGGTTTAGCATGGCTCCACTGGGGCCAATGTTCGTTGCCCGTACGTCCGGCCCACGGGGCTCAGGACTTGTGAGCCCTGTGGGAAGACTGGGCACACTGAGTATCGTTGCTTCTGTCGTCTCGAGGATGCCTGGCGCACCGAGTACGGAGATGAGCTGGCTCCCCCCAACTGGTTAGCGTTGCTAGGGAAGGGGGTAGATGTGTTTGCTCTTGACTTTGCCAAGATCAATGCTGGAAACTATACTATGTATGCTGGTGCTGCTAGTGTTGAGGGTGACTGTTACTCGTGTGTGCCGCGCGCTGCTGGTGTAGAGGCTGCTGCTCTAGGTGCTTGTGAGTCTGCTGCCGCAGGTACTGCTTCTGCTGAGGCTTTGCACACCTTCACACTTGACTCAGGCGCGTCTCGCTGTTTCTTTCGCATTGCACCACAGTTACACCGCTCACAGCACTTGTCTCAGTCTCTCTGGCTGACCCCTCTGGGGGCCCAGTTGTTGCACGAGCCTCCACTGTGCTCCCTTGTCCGGCAGTCCCCTTCGGTTCTCTGTCCGGTCTCCACATCCCCTCGTTCTCTAAGAACTTGGTGAGTAACGCTGTCCTCCAGGACGAGCTGGTCAGTACCTTTACTCCTGGAGGTGAGCGTGTGGCGATCTGCTCGGACTCACGCACTGGCGAGCACCTCGCCACGTTCACCCTGAGCCCAGGGTCTAGCATGTACACACTGACCACTGCGTCCGCACAGGTGGCTGCGTCAGGTCAGGTGGCTGCGTCTGCACAGGTGGCTGCGTCAGGTCAGTTAGCTGCGTCTTGCTCGTGCCGGCTACTCACCAGACTCTCCTCTGGCACCACCGTCTTGGTCACCCCTCCCTGCCACACTTGCGTGGCATGCACACTCGTCTCCTTGTCTCTGGCCTCCCCAGGTCCCTGCCCCCGCTCCCGCGCTTCCAGAAGTCATGCTCGTCACCCCCCCACGCTCTTGCTGGCTTGGTAATAGGTCCAAACGCAACGTGAACGAACGGAAGAAAAACGCTCGGAACGAGCGTTTTCATCCCCAAGACGCGGAAGGATCCGCACATGTGCAAACAATGCAGCAGGCATGGTTCATTCGCCAGTGCCAATGACCGATCATGCTCGTCACCCTCCCACGCTCTTGCTGGCTTGGTAATAGTTCTAAACGCACACAGCCGCGTGACCGGACGGAAGAAAAACGCCCGGAACGAACGTTTGATCCCCAAAACGCGGAAGGATCCGCGCATGTGCGAATAATGCAGCAGGCATGGTTCATTCGCCAGTGCCAATGACCGATCATGCTCGTAAGCCTCCCACGCTCTTGCTGGCTTGATAATAGGTCCAAACGCACACAGACGTGTGACCAAACGGAAGAAAAACGCCCAGAACGAGGGTTTTCATCCCCAAAACGCGGAAGGATCCGCACATGTGAAAAAAATGCAGCAGGCATGGTTCATTCGCCAGTGCCAATGACCGATCATGCTCGTCACCCTCCAACGCTCTTGCTGGCTTGGTAATATGCCCAAACGCACACTGCCGCATGACCGAACGGAATAAAAACGCCCGGAACTAGCGTTTTCATCCCCAAAACGCGGAAGGACCTGCACATGTGCAAAAAATGCAGTCGGCATGGTTCATTCGCCAGTGCCAATGACCGATCATGCTCGTCACCCTCCCACTCTCTTGCTGGCTTGGTAATAGGTCCAAACGCGCACAGCCGCGTGACCGAACGGAAGAAAAACGATCGGAACGAGTGTTTTCATCCCCAAAACGCGGAGAAATCCACACATGTGCAAAAAATGCAGCAGGCATGGTTCATTCGCCAGTACCAATGACTGATCATGCTCGTCACCCGCCCACGCTCTTGCTGGCTTGGTAATAGGTCCAAACGCGCACAGCCGCATGACAGAACGGAAGAAGAACGCCAGGAACGAGCGTTTTCATCCCCCAAACGCGGAGGGATCCACACATGTGCGAAAAATGCAGCAGGCATGGTTCATTCGCCAGTGCCAACGACCGATCATGCTCGTCAACCTCCCACGCTCTTGCTGACTTGGTAATAGGTCCAAACGCACACAGCCGCGTGACCGAACGGAAGAAAAACGCTCGGAACGAGCGTTTTCATCCCCAAAACGCTGAATGATCCGCACGTGTGCAAAAAATGCAGCAGGCATGGTTCATTCGCCAGTGCGATCATGCTCGTCACCCTCCCACTCTTTTGCTGGCTTGATAATAGGTCCAAACGCACACAGACGCGTGACCGAACGGAAGAAAAACGCCCGGAACGAGCGTTTTCATCCCCAAAACGCGGAAGAATCTGCGCATGTGCAAAAAATGCAGCATGCACGGTTCTTTGCCAGTTCCAATGACTGATCGTGCTCGTTGTTAGAGATTAAGGACGGAGTCTATGAAGATTAGGGGCTGAAATATCTCAAAATCGTCAACTACAATTCTGGACAGAAAAGTCGTCGTCACAAGAAACGTCGTCGACGAAAGGTCCACTGTTAGAATTCTTTCAAACTCGAGTATGTTGTAGCCCTTGACCGTGGCTATCTTTCCCAATTTGAATAGTATCAGAATATGGAGTATAACTCGAGTTATGAACTTCGGCGCACTAGGGGGTATGCTGCCATAGAAAACGTAACTCAATCACAATGATCTCACAAGTTCACACAAGAAAGTTAGAGTAGCAATAGAACCAGGTAGGAGGGGATGAGGAGGACGAGAGGGAAGGTCCCAAGAGAGTCCCCAACCAAGGAAACCCCATGCCATACAATTCCCTTCCCCATAGGCAACCCAACTTTGACCTTTGTCACTATCCCAACCTCCACAATCCACCTCAACCCAACTTGGCCACACTTGCCAACCTGGTTTGGTTTCTCCCAACCATTTGGCAGCAACTACAGTAGAAAAGACGAATTTCCCAACCCCCAAAAGTCTGTACCCCATATTGAGTCAACCCCACAACTTCCCATAGTCACCACAACCAAATATCAAAAGCATACGAACTCCAACGTTCGTAACTTTCTTGTTCGTGCTCCGATTGAAGCGATACTTGGTTCCTCGGAAAGCTCTTGAGCAGAGGAGTCACTTCAGATATCTGCTCAAGCCAAATAACATTCACACACACACTCAGAAAAACCAAACCGCACAAAACACAAATTCTTGCACACACTCACAACACGCATGCAACGCACGAACATATGATGGGAGGCAGACAGACGTGAATGCGAATGGTAGCATCACTCAACACTCGTCACCCTCCCACGCTCTTGCTGGCTTGGTAATAGGTCCAAACGCACACAGCCGCGTGGCCGAACGGAAGAAAAACACCCGGAACGAGCGTTTTCATCCCCAAGACGCTGAATGATCCGCACATGTGCAAAAAATGAAGCAGGCATGGTTCATTCGCCAGTGCCAATGACCGATCATGCTCGTCACCCTCCCACGCTCTTGCTGGCTTGGTAATATGCCCAAACGCACACAGCCGCATGTCCAAATGGAAGAAAAACGCTCGAAAAGAGCGGTATCATCCCCAAAACGCGGAAGGATCCACACATGTGCAAAAAATGCAGCAGGCATGGTTCATTGGCCAGTGTCAATGACCGATCATGCTCATCACCCTCTTACGTTTTTGCTGGCTTGGTACTAGGTCCAAACGCACACAGCCGCGTGACCGAACGGAAGAAAAACACCCGGAACGAGCGTTTTCGTCCCCAAAACGCGGAAGGATCCGCACATGTGCCAAAAATGCAGCAGTCATGGTTCATTCGCCAGTGCCAATGACCGATCATGATCGGTACTGGCGAATGAACCATGCTTGCTGCATTTTTGGCGAATGAAAAGAGGGAATTCAAGTACTGGGTTAGTGTGGGGCTGCTGCCAGTGCAGCTGAGTCCAGCAGCACAGCATCGACAGGGGTGATGACAGTGGAAACGCTGCACTCATCTCCTTCAGTCATATGTATCTTCTTCAGTCATCTCTCCATCTTCCTTTCCTGGTTTCCTTGTCCAAGAAGGCTGTAAGCAGCATGGTGGTTTCAGAGTTTAGGTGGCAAGAGTAGGGGGTGTACATCAGTCACAACCAAAGGGTAGCGTATATTAAGCAAAGATTTGCCAGAGGCGACAGCCATAACAAGGCATCGGACAACTTGTCCGTGACTTCAGTGTGTTCCACGCTGCCCAATGTAAATTACAGCGAAAGTCGCATTCAAGGTGACGCGCGTTTGTGACGTTGTACATTCTATGCAGTATTTGCGCGTCACAAACTATTGTGACACAAATGTCCCTGCAGGAACGCACCCTTGGAGGCGCACGCGCACGCTTACATCCTCCTGGGTATGATGTTAACTTGTGCTTGGGTTGAGACCAGGGGCCTTTTTTATTACCATTGATTATGGGCAATTTAGGGGAATAAAAAAGCAGTACCGTCTGGTGGACCCGCTGGCACACTAAACGGAGATGAATAAACGATGACACGGTAGAAAAAATAAACCCTTCTGCCAATGGGGCAGATGTCTGTATGTAAGGCCTTATCATGGCCAGTGTGACGTATATTCAGAGGAGGCGGGTGAAGTGGAGCTCCACCTGCAGGCGGCGGTGGATGGCTTCAGGTGACGCCAAGAATACCCCTTGCGCAGGTCACTCTCTACCTCCGCCAATGGCACCGCCGCCAGGAACGCCTGTTTTGAGTAGACTCAAAAACATATTCAGAGGAGGCGGGTGAAGTGAAGCTCCACTTGGAGGCGGCGGTGGATGGCTTCAGGTGACGCCAGCAGCCCCTTGCGCAGGTCACCCTCCACCTCCGCCAGCGGCACCGCCGCCAGGAACGCCTTGAGGTACTCGCGGCACGCCTCCGCTCCCCACACCCTCCGCCCCGCTGCCACCGGAGCTGCCTCCCCCTCGCCCTCCCCGCCACAAGCAGGTGCCGCCAAGGTGGGAGGGGAGGCAGCGGCGGTGGTGGTGCAGGCAGGAGACGAGGCAGCAGCGCACGACGCGGTTTGGGTGGGCTGCTCACTGCTTGCGCACCCGTCAAAATTGGTGGTGCTGGCTCTGGTCTCGTGTATGGGTGACCGTGATGGACCGTCAGTGTGTGTCAGCAGACATGTTGCCTCGGCTGCATGCACTGCTGTAGGAATCACTGAGTCAGCTGCAGTGGATGCTGACTCATCTCCGCATGGTGGGCTGCAGGTGTCCGCAGAAGGACTATCTACATGATTTGGAGTGGCAGTGATGGGAGCGGGCACGCCATGAGTGTCGGCAGGGAGCAAAGTGACGCCTTCACTCGATCGCATTGCTTGGAGCACCACCCCTTCAACCTCTGCCACATGCGTTCCTTCTGCTGCTCCCACTATCACGTCTTCCCCCTTAGCAGCACCTGCCTCACAGCTCACCGTATCGTTCACCCCATGTGGATGGGAACCTAACCCCCCTGCTCCAATGTCCAACCCACTGCTGTCTTTGCCCTTCCCACTGCCATCCTTGCCCTTGCCACTGCCCTTGCCTGCCTTCACACCCCATCGCCTGCCTGTCTCTGCCTTGGGCACCTGAGCACCAGTGCCGCCTGCCTTACCCTCTGCCCTCTCTGCTTCGTCTGCCCTGCCGCCTTGCTCACTGCTGTCACCAGTACCCTGCCCTTTCGCCTGTCCCCCACCACCGTTACCTGCACCACCCTCTCCTCCTCCTCCTGCGTCGGCCCCGCCTGCAGCAGTGCTTCCAGGCGCTGCTGGGGGAGGCAGGCCCACATCCACCCAGGAGGAGGAGTCAAAGAGCAGCATGAAGGCCTGTGAGCACCCCTCGTGCAGCCGCTCGCCCAGCGTGTCGATCACCACACACTCCACCTCCTTTTCACTCGCCTCCCCTCTTGTGCCGCCATTGGCTACGCATTCACCTGTGTGCTCCCCCACCGCCCCATCCAGTGGTGCCTGCACCGCAGCACGCTGGTGCTGCTGCTGGTGGGGCTGGTGCTGGTGCTGCTGCTGCTGCTGCTCCTGGTGGTACTGATGCTGGTGGGGGTGGGGGCGGCGCAGGAGGAGGAAGAAGTGGTCGTTCCACGCCACGATGTACACGCCCTCGCCCGCCTGCACCACCGCCTCCCAGATGTCGTCAAACGACAGCATGCCCTCCAAGAACGCCAGCTGCTCCATGCCCTTCTCCTCCATGCCCTTCTCCTCCATGCCCTTCTCCTCCATGCCCTTCTCCTCCATGCCCTTCTCCTCCATGCCCTTCTCCTCCATGCCCTTCTCCTCCATGCCCTTCTCCTCCATGCCCTTCTCCTCCATGCCCTTCTCCTCCATGCCCTTCTCCTCCATGCCCTTCTCCTCCATGCCCTTCTCCTCCATGCCCTTCTCCTCCATGCCCTTCTCCTCCATGCCCTTCTCCTCCATGCCCTTCTCCTCCATGCCCTTCTCCTCCATGCCCTTCTCCTCCATGCCCTTCCTCCATGCCCTTCTCCTCCATGCCCTTCTCCTCCATGCCCTTCTCCTCCATGCCCTTCTCCTCCATGCCCTTCTCCTCCATGCCCTTCTCCTCCATGCCCTTCTCCTCCATGCCCTTCTCCTCCATGCCCTTTCTCCTCCATGCCTTCTCCTCCATGCCCTTCTCCTCCATGCCCTTCTCCTCCATGCCCTTTCTCCTCCATGCCCTTCTCCTCCATGCCCTTCCTCCTCCCATGCCCTTCTCCTCCATGCCCTTCTCCTCCATGCCCTTCTCCTCCATGCCCTTCTCCTCATCCCTTCTCCTCCATGCCCTTCTCCTCCATGCCCTTCTCCTCCATGCCCTTCTCCTCCATGCCCTTCTCCTCCATGCCCTTCTCCTCCATGCCCTTCTCCTCCATGCCCTTCTCCTCCATGCCCTTCTCCTCCATGCCCTTCTCCTCCATGCCCCTTCTCCTCCATGCCCTTCTCCTCCATGCCCTTCTCCTCCATGCCCTTCTCCTCCATGCCCTTCTCCTCCATGCCCTTCTCCTCCATGCCCTTCTCCTCCATGCCCTTCTCCTCCATGCCCTTCTCCTCCATGCCCTTCTCCTCCATGCCCTTCTCCTCCATGCCCTTCTCCTCCATGCCCTTCTCCTCCATGCCCTTCTCCTCCATGCCCTTCTCCTCCATGCCCTTCTCCTCCATGCCCTTCTCCTCCATGCCCTTCTCCTCCATGCCCTTCTCCTCCATGCCCTTCTCCTCCATGCCCTTCTCCTCCATGCCCTTCTCCTCCATGCCCTTCTCCTCCATGCCCTTCTCCTCCATGCCCTTCTCCTCCATGCCCTTCTCCTCCATGCCCTTCTCCTCCATGCCCTTCTCCTCCATGCCTTCTCCTCCATGCCCTTCTCCTCCATGCCCTTCTCCTCCATGCCCTTCTCCTCCATGCCCTTCTCCTCCATGCCCTTCTCCTCCATGCCCTTCTCCTCCATGCCCTTCTCCTCCATGCCCTTCTCCTCCATGCCCTTCTCCTCCATGCCCTTCTCCTCCATGCCCTTCTCCTCCATGCCCTTCTCCTCCATGCCCTTCTCCTCCATGCCCTTCTCCTCCATGCCCTTCTCCTCCATGCCCTTCTCCTCCATGCCCTTCTCCTCCATGCCCTTCTCCTCCATGCCCTTCTCCTCCATGCCCTTCTCCTCCATGCCCTTCTCCTCCATGCCCTTCTCCTCCATGCCCTTCTCCTCCATGCCCTTCTCCTCCATGCCCTTCTCCTCCATGCCCTTCTCCTCCATGCCCTTCTCCTCCATGCCCTTCTCCTCCATGCCCTTCTCCTCCATGCCCTTCTCCTCCATGCCTTCTCCTCCATGCCCTTCTCCTCCATGCCCTTCTCCTCCATGCCCTTCTCCTCCATGCCCTTCTCCTCCATGCCCTTCTCCTCCATGCCCTTCTCCTCCATGCCCTTCTCCTCCATGCCCTTCTCCTCCATGCCCTTCTCCTCCATGCCCTTCTCCTCCATGCCCTTCTCCTCCATGCCCTTCTCCTCCATGCCCTTCTCCTCCATGCCCTTCTCCTCCATGCCCTTCTCCTCCATGCCCTTCTCCTCCATGCCCTTCTCCTCCATGCCCTTCTCCTCCATGCCCTTCTCCTCCATGCCCTTCTCCTCCATGCCCTTCTCCTCCATGCCCTTCTCCTCCATGCCCTTCTCCTCCATGCCCTTCTCCTCCATGCCCTTCTCCTCCATGCCCTTCTCCTCCATGCCCTTCTCCTCCATGCCCTTCTCCTCCATGCCCTTCTCCTCCATGCCCTTCTCCTCCATGCCCTTCTCCTCCATGCCCTTCTCCTCCATGCCCTTCTCCTCCATGCCCTTCTCCTCCATGCCCTTCTCCTCCATGCCCTTCTCCTCCATGCCCTTCTCCTCCATGCCCTTCTCCTCCATGCCCTTCTCCTCCATGCCCTTCTCCTCCATGCCCTTCTCCTCCATGCCCTTCTCCTCCATGCCCTTCTCCTCCATGCCCTTCTCCTCCATGCCCTTCTCCTCCATGCCCTTCTCCTCCATGCCCTTCTCCTCCATGCCCTTCTCCTCCATGCCCTTCTCCTCCATGCCCTTCTCCTCCATGCCCTTCTCCTCCATGCCCTTCTCCTCCATGCCCTTCTCCTCCATGCCCTTCTCCTCCATGCCCTTCTCCTCCATGCCCTTCTCCTCCATGCCCTTCTCCTCCATGCCCTTCTCCTCCATGCCCTTCTCCTCCATGCCCTTCTCCTCCATGCCCTTCTCCTCCATGCCCTTCTCCTCCATGCCCTTCTCCTCCATGCCCTTCTCCTCCATGCCCTTCTCCTCCATGCCCTTCTCCTCCATGCCCTTCTCCTCCATGCCCTTCTCCTCCATGCCCTTCTCCTCCATGCCCTTCTCCTCCATGCCCTTCTCCTCCATGCCCTTCTCCTCCATGCCCTTCTCCTCCATGCCCTTCTCCTCCATGCCCTTCTCCTCCATGCCCTTCTCCTCCATGCCCTTCTCCTCCATGCCCTTCTCCTCCATGCCCTTCTCCTCCATGCCCTTCTCCTCCATGCCCTTCTCCTCCATGCCCTTCTCCTCCATGCCCTTCTCCTCATGGCCCTTCTCCTCCATGCCCTTCTCCTCCGCCCTCCTCTCCTCCATGCCCTTCTCCTCCATGCCCTTCTCCTCCATGCCCTTCTCCTCCATGCCCTTCTCCTCCATGCCCTTCTCCTCCATGCCCTTCTCCTCCATGCCCTTCTCCTCCATGCCCTTCTCCTCCATGCCCTTCTCCTCCATGCCTTCTCCTCCATGCCCTTCTCCTCCATGCCCTTCTCCTCCATGCCCTTCCATGCCTTCTCCTCCATGCCCTTCTCCTCCATGCCCTTCTCCTCCATGCCCTTCTCCTCCATGCCCTTCTCCTCCATGCCCTTCTCCTCCATGCCCTTCTCCTCCATGCCCTTCTCCTCCATGCCCTTCTCCTCCATGCCCTTCTCCTCCATGCCCTTCTCCTCCATGCCCTTCTCCTCCATGCCCTTCTCCTCCATGCCCTTCTCCTCCATGCCCTTCTCCTCCATGCCCTTCTCCTCCATGCCCTTCTCCTCCATGCCCTTCTCCTCCATGCCCTTCTCCTCCATGCCCTTCTCCTCCATGCCCTTCTCCTCCATGCCCTTCTCCTCCATGCCCTTCTCCTCCATGCCCTTCTCCTCCATGCCCTTCTCCTCCATGCCCTTCTCCTCCATGCCCTTCTCCTCCATGCCCTTACTCCTCCATGCCCTTCTCCTCCATGCCCTTCTCCTCCATGCCCTTCTCCTCCATGCCCTTCTCCTCCATGCCCTTCTCCTCCATGCCTTCTCCTCCATGCCCTTCTCCTCCATGCCCTTCTCCTCCATGCCCTTCTCCTCCATGCCCTTCTCCTCCATGCCCTTCTCCTCTCCTCCATGCCTTCTCCTCCATGCCCTTCTCCTCCATGCCCTTCTCCTCCATCCATTCTCCTCCATGCCCTTCTCCTCCATGCCCTTCTCCTCCATGCCCTTCTCCTCCATTCCCTTCTCCTCCATGCCCTTCTCCCCTCTCCTCATGCCCTTCTCCTCCATGCCCTTCTCCTCCATGCCCTTCTCCTCCATGGCCCTTCTCCTCCATGCCCTTCTCCTCCATGCCCTTCTCCTCCATGCCCTTCTCCTCCATGCCCTTCTCCTCCATGCCCTTCTCCTCCATGCCCTTCTCCTCCATGCCCTTCTCCTCCATGCCCTTCTCCTCCATGCCCTTCTCCTCCATGCCCTTCTCCTCCATGCCCTTCTCCTCCATGCCCTTCTCCTCCATGCCCTTCTCCTCCATGCCCTTCTCCTCCATGCCCTTCTCCTCCATGCCCTTCTCCTCCATGCCCTTCTCCTCCATGCCCTTCTCCTCCATGCCCTTCTCCTCCATGCCCTTCTCCTCCATGCCTTCTCCTCATGCCCTTCTCCTCCATGCCCTTCTCCTCCATGCCCTTCTCCTCCATGCCCTTCTCCTCCATGCCCTTCTCCTCCATGCCCTTCTCCTCCATGCCCTTCTCCTCCATGCCCTTCTCCTCCATGCCCTTCTCCTCCATGCCCTTCTCCTCCATGCCCTTCTCCTCCATGCCCTTCTCCTCCATGCCCTTCTCCTCCATGCCCTTCTCCTCCATGCCCTTCTCCTCCATGCCCTTCTCCTCCATGCCCTTCTCCTCCATGCCCTTCTCCTCCATGCCCTTCTCCTCCATGCCCTTCTCCTCCATGCCCTTCTCCTCCATGCCCTTCTCCTCCATGCCCTTCTCCTCCATGCCCTTCTCCTCCATGCCCTTCTCCTCCATGCCCTTCTCCTCCATGCCCTTCTCCTCCATGCCCTTCTCCTCCATGCCCTTCTCCTCCATGCCCTTCTCCTCCATGCCCTTCTCCTCCATGCCCTTCTCCTCCATGCCCTTCTCCTCCATGCCCTTCTCCTCCATGCCCTTCTCCTCCATGCCCTTCTCCTCCATGCCCTTCTCCTCCATGCCCTTCTCCTCCATGCCCTTCTCCTCCATGCCCTTCTCCTCCATGCCCTTCTCCTCCATGCCCTTCTCCTCCATGCCCTTCTCCTCCATGCCCTTCTCCTCCATGCCCTTCTCCTCCATGCCCTTCTCCTCCATGCCCTTCTCCTCCATGCCCTTCTCCTCCATGCCCTTCTCCTCCATGCCCTTCTCCTCCATGCCCTTCTCCTCCATGCCCTTCTCCTCCATGCCCTTCTCCTCCATGCCCTTCTCCTCCATGCCCTTCTCCTCCATGCCCTTCTCCTCCATGCCCTTCTCCTCCATGCCCTTCTCCTCCATGCCCTTCTCCTCCATGCCCTTCTCCTCCATGCCCTTCTCCTCCATGCCCTTCTCCTCCATGCCCTTCTCCTCCATGCCCTTCTCCTCCATGCCCTTCTCCTCCATGCCCTTCTCCTCCATGCCCTTCTCCTCCATGCCCTTCTCCTCCATGCCCTTCTCCTCCATGCCCTTCTCCTCCATGCCCTTCTCCTCCATGCCCTTCTCCTCCATGCCCTTCTCCTCCATGCCCTTCTCCTCCATGCCCTTCTCCTCCATGCCCTTCTCCTCCATGCCCTTCTCCTCCATGCCCTTCTCCTCCATGCCCTTCTCCTCCATGCCCTTCTCCTCCATGCCCTTCTCCTCCATGCCCTTCTCCTCCATGCCCTTCTCCTCCATGCCCTTCTCCTCCATGCCCTTCTCCTCCATGCCCTTCTCCTCCATGCCCTTCTCCTCCATGCCCTTCTCCTCCATGCCCTTCTCCTCCATGCCCTTCTCCTCCATGCCCTTCTCCTCCATGCCCTTCTCCTCCATGCCCTTCTCCTCCATGCCCTTCTCCTCCATGCCCTTCTCCTCCATGCCCTTCTCCTCCATGCCCTTCTCCTCCATGCCCTTCTCCTCCATGCCCTTCTCCTCCATGCCCTTCTCCTCCATGCCCTTCTCCTCCATGCCCTTCTCCTCCATGCCCTTCTCCTCCATGCCCTTCTCCTCCATGCCCTTCTCCTCCATGCCCTTCTCCTCCATGCCCTTCTCCTCCATGCCCTTCTCCTCCATGCCCTTCTCCTCCATGCCCTTCTCCTCCATGCCCTTCTCCTCCATGCCCTTCTCCTCCATGCCTTCTCCTCATCTCCTCCATGCCCTTCTCCTCCATGCCCTTCTCCTCCATGCCCTTCTCCTCCATGCCCTTCTCCTCCATGCCCTTCTCCTCCATGCCCTTCTCCTCCATGCCCTTCTCCTCCATGCCCTTCTCCTCCATGCCCTTCTCCTCCATGCCCTTCTCCTCCATGCCCTTCTCCTCCATGCCCTTCTCCTCCATGCCCTTCTCCTCCATGCCCTTCTCCTCCATGCCCTTCTCCTCCATGCCCTTCTCCTCCATGCCCTTCTCCTCCATGCCCTTCTCCTCCATGCCCTTCTCCTCCATGCCCTTCTCCTCCATGCCCTTCTCCTCCATGCCCTTCTCCTCCATGCCCTTCTCCTCCATGCCCTTCTCCTCCATGCCCTTCTCCTCCATGCCCTTCTCCTCCATGCCCTTCTCCTCCATGCCCTTCTCCTCCATGCCCTTCTCCTCCATGCCCTTCTCCTCCATGCCCTTCTCCTCCATGCCCTTCTCCTCCATGCCCTTCTCCTCCATGCCCTTCTCCTCCATGCCCTTCTCCTCCATGCCCTTCTCCTCCATGCCCTTCTCCTCCATGCCCTTCTCCTCCATGCCCTTCTCCTCCATGCCTTCTCCTCCATGCCCTTCTCCTCCATGCCCTTCTCCTCCATGCCCTTCTCCTCCATGCCCTTCTCCTCCATGCCCTTCTCCTCCATGCCCTTCTCCTCCATGCCCTTCTCCTCCATGCCCTTCTCCTCCATGCCCTTCTCCTCCATGCCCTTCTCCTCCATGCCCTTCTCCTCCATGCCCTTCTCCTCCATGCCCTTCTCCTCCATGCCCTTCTCCTCCATGCCCTTCTCCTCCATGCCCTTCTCCTCCATGCCCTTCTCCTCCATGCCCTTCTCCTCCATGCCCTTCTCCTCCATGCCCTTCTCCTCCATGCCCTTCTCCTCCATGCCCTTCTCCTCCATGCCCTTCTCCTCCATGCCCTTCTCCTCCATGCCCTTCTCCTCCATGCCCTTCTCCTCCATGCCCTTCTCCTCCATGCCCTTCTCCTCCATGCCCTTCTCCTCCATGCCCTTCTCCTCCATGCCCTTCTCCTCCATGCCCTTCTCCTCCATGCCCTTCTCCTCCATGCCCTTCTCCTCCATGCCCTTCTCCTCCATGCCCTTCTCCTCCATGCCCTTCTCCTCCATGCCCTTCTCCTCCATGCCCTTCTCCTCCATGCCCTTCTCCTCCATGCCCTTCTCCTCCATAGCCCTTCTCCTCCATGCCCTTCTCCTCCATGCCCTTCTCCTCCATGCCCTTCTCCTCCATGCCCTTCTCCTCCATGCCCTTCTCCTCCATGCCCTTCTCCTCCATGCCCTTCTCCTCCATGCCCTTCTCCTCCATGCCTTCTCCTCCATGCCCTTCTCCTCCATGCCCTTCTCCTCCATGCCCTTCTCCTCCATGCCCTTCTCCTCCATGCCCTTCTCCTCCATGCCCTTCTCCTCCATGCCCTTCTCCTCCATGCCCTTCTCCTCCATGCCCTTCTCCTCCATGCCCTTCTCCTCCATGCCTTCTCCTCCATGCCCTTCTCCTCCATGCCCTTCTCCTCCATGCCCTTCTCCTCCATGCCCTTCTCCTCCATGCCCTTCTCCTCCATGCCCTTCTCCTCCATGCCCTTCTCCTCCATGCCCTTCTCCTCCATGCCCTTCTCCTCCATGCCCTTCTCCTCCATGCCCTTCTCCTCCATGCCCTTCTCCTCCATGCCCTTCTCCTCCATGCCCTTCTCCTCCATGCCCTTCTCCTCCATGCCCTTCTCCTCCATGCCCTTCTCCTCCATGCCCTTCTCCTCCATGCCCTTCTCCTCCATGCCCTTCTCCTCCATGCCCTTCTCCTCCATGCCCTTCTCCTCCATGCCCTTCTCCTCCATGCCCTTCTCCTCCATGCCCTTCTCCTCCATGCCCTTCTCCTCCATGCCCTTCTCCTCCATGCCCTTCTCCTCCATGCCCTTCTCCTCCATGCCCTTCTCCTCCATGCCCTTCTCCTCCATGCCCTTCTCCTCCATGCCCTTCTCCTCCATGCCCTTCTCCTCCATGCCCTTCTCCTCCATGCCCTTCTCCTCCATGCCCTTCTCCTCCATGCCCTTCTCCTCCATGCCCTTCTCCTCCATGCCCTTCTCCTCCATGCCCTTCTCCTCCATGCCCTTCTCCTCCATGCCCTTCTCCTCCATGCCCTTCTCCTCCATGCCCTTCTCCTCCATGCCCTTCTCCTCCATGCCCTTCTCCTCCATGCCCTTCTCCTCCATGCCCTTCTCCTCCATGCCCTTCTCCTCCATGCCCTTCTCCTCCATGCCCTTCTCCTCCATGCCCTTCTCCTCCATGCCCTTCTCCTCCATGCCCTTCTCCTCCATGCCCTTCTCCTCCATGCCCTTCTCCTCCATGCCCTTCTCCTCCATGCCCTTCTCCTCCATGCCCTTCTCCTCCATGCCCTTCTCCTCCATGCCCTTCTCCTCCATGCCCTTCTCCTCCATGCCCTTCTCCTCCATGCCCTTCTCCTCCATGCCCTTCTCCTCCATGCCCTTCTCCTCCATGCCCTTCTCCTCCATGCCCTTCTCCTCCATGCCCTTCTCCTCCATGCCCTTCTCCTCCATGCCCTTCTCCTCCATGCCCTTCTCCTCCATGCCCTTCTCCTCCATGCCCTTCTCCTCCATGCCCTTCTCCTCCTGCCCTTCTCCTCCATGCCCTTCTCCTCCATGCCCTTCTCCTCCATGCCCTTCTCCTCCATGCCCTTCTCCTCCATGCCCTTCTCCTCCATGCCCTTCTCCTCCATGCCCTTCTCCTCCATGCCCTTCTCCTCCATGCCCTTCTCCTCCATGCCCTTCTCCTCCATGCCCTTCTCCTCCATGCCCTTCTCCTCCATGCCCTTCTCCTCCATGCCCTTCTCCTCCATGCCCTTCTCCTCCATGCCCTTCTCCTCCATGCCCTTCTCCTCCATGCCCTTCTCCTCCATGCCCTTCTCCTCCATGCCCTTCTCCTCCATGCCCTTCTCCTCCATGCCCTTCTCCTCCATGCCCTTCTCCTCCATGCCCTTCTCCTCCATGCCCTTCTCCTCCATGCCCTTCTCCTCCATGCCCTTCTCCTCCATGCCCTTCTCCTCCATGCCCTTCTCCTCCATGCCCTTCTCCTCCATGCCCTTCTCCTCCATGCCCTTCTCCTCCATGCCCTTCTCCTCCATGCCCTTCTCCTCCATGCCCTTCTCCTCCATGCCCTTCTCCTCCATGCCCTTCTCCTCCATGCCCTTCTCCTCCATGCCCTTCTCCTCCATGCCCTTCTCCTCCATGCCCTTCTCCTCCATGCCCTTCTCCTCCATGCCCTTCTCCTCCATGCCCTTCTCCTCCATGCCCTTCTCCTCCATGCCCTTCTCCTCCATGCCCTTCTCCTCCATGCCCTTCTCCTCCATGCCCTTCTCCTCCATGCCCTTCTCCTCCATGCCCTTCTCCTCCATGCCCTTCTCCTCCATGCCCTTCTCCTCCATGCCCTTCTCCTCCATGCCCTTCTCCTCCATGCCCTTCTCCTCCATGCCCTTCTCCTCCATGCCCTTCTCCTCCATGCCCTTCTCCTCCATGCCCTTCTCCTCCATGCCCTTCTCCTCCATGCCCTTCTCCTCCATGCCCTTCTCCTCCATGCCCTTCTCCTCCATGCCCTTCTCCTCCATGCCCTTCTCCTCCATGCCCTTCTCCTCCATGCCCTTCTCCTCCATGCCCTTCTCCTCCATGCCCTTCTCCTCCATGCCCTTACTCCTCCATGCCCTTCTCCTCCATGCCCTTCTCCTCCATGCCCTTCTCCTCCATGCCCTTCTCCTCCATGCCCTTCTCCTCCATGCCCTTCTCCTCCATGCCCTTCTCCTCCATGCCCTTCTCCTCCATGCCCTTCTCCTCCATGCCCTTCTCCTCCATGCCCTTCTCCTCCATGCCCTTCTCCTCCATGCCCTTCTCCTCCATGCCCTTCTCCTCCATGCCCTTCTCCTCCATGCCCTTCTCCTCCATGCCCTTCTCCTCCATGCCCTTCTCCTCCATGCCCTTCTCCTCCATGCCCTTCTCCTCCATGCCCTTCTCCTCCATGCCCTTCTCCTCCATGCCCTTCTCCTCCATGCCCTTCTCCTCCATGCCCTTCTCCTCCATGCCCTTCTCCTCCATGCCCTTCTCCTCCATGCCCTTCTCCTCCATGCCCTTCTCCTCCATGCCCTTCTCCTCCATGCCCTTCTCCTCCATGCCCTTCTCCTCCATGCCCTTCTCCTCCATGCCCTTCTCCTCCATGCCCTTCTCCTCCATGCCCTTCTCCTCCATGCCCTTCTCCTCCATGCCCTTCTCCTCCATGCCCTTCTCCTCCATGCCCTTCTCCTCCATGCCCTTCTCCTCCATGCCCTTCTCCTCCATGCCCTTCTCCTCCATGCCCTTCTCCTCCATGCCCTTCTCCTCCATGCCCTTCTCCTCCATGCCCTTCTCCTCCATGCCCTTCTCCTCCATGCCCTTCTCCTCCATGCCCTTCTCCTCCATGCCCTTCTCCTCCATGCCCTTCTCCTCCATGCCCTTCTCCTCCATGCCCTTCTCCTCCATGCCCTTCTCCTCCATGCCCTTCTCCTCCATGCCCTTCTCCTCCATGCCCTTCTCCTCCATGCCCTTCTCCTCCATGCCCTTCTCCTCCATGCCCTTCTCCTCCATGCCCTTCTCCTCCATGCCCTTCTCCTCCATGCCCTTCTCCTCCATGCCCTTCTCCTCCATGCCCTTCTCCTCCATGCCCTTCTCCTCCATGCCCTTCTCCTCCATGCCCTTCTCCTCCATGCCCTTCTCCTCCATGCCCTTCTCCTCCATGCCCTTCTCCTCCATGCCCTTCTCCTCCATGCCCTTCTCCTCCATGCCCTTCTCCTCCATGCCCTTCTCCTCCATGCCCTTCTCCTCCATGGCCCTTCTCCTCCATGCCCTTCTCCTCCATGCCCTTCTCCTCCATGCCCTTCTCCTCCATGCCCTTCTCCTCCATGCCCTTCTCCTCCATGCCCTTCTCCTCCATGCCCTTCTCCTCCATGCCCTTCTCCCTCCATGCCCTTCTCCTCCATGCCCTTCTCCTCCATGCCCTTCTCCTCCATGCCCTTCTCCTCCATGCCCTTCTCCTCCATGCCCTTCTCCTCCATGCCCTTCTCCTCCATGCCCTTCTCCTCCATGCCCTTCTCCTCCATGCCCTTCTCCTCCATGCCCTTCTCCTCCATGCCCTTCTCCTCCATGCCCTTCTCCTCCATGCCCTTCTCCTCCATGCCCTTCTCCTCCATGCCCTTCTCCTCCATGCCCTTCTCCTCCATGCCCTTCTCCTCCATGCCTTCTCCTCCATGCCCTTCTCCTCCATGCCCTTCTCCTCCATGCCCTTCTCCTCCATGCCCTTCTCCTCCATGCCCTTCTCCTCCATGCCCTTCTCCTCCATGCCCTTCTCCTCCATGCCCTTCTCCTCCATGCCCTTCTCCTCCATGCCCTTCTCCTCCATGCCCTTCTCCTCCATGCCCTTCTCCTCCATGCCCTTCTCCTCCATGCCCTTCTCCTCCATGCCCTTCTCCTCCATGCCCTTCTCCTCCATGCCCTTCTCCTCCATGCCCTTCTCCTCCATGCCCTTCTCCTCCATGCCCTTCTCCTCCATGCCCTTCTCCTCCATGCCCTTCTCCTCCATGCCCTTCTCCTCCATGCCCTTCTCCTCCATGCCCTTCTCCTCCATGCCCTTCTCCTCCATGCCCTTCTCCTCCATGCCCTTCTCCTCCATGCCCTTCTCCTCCATGCCCTTCTCCTCCATGCCCTTCTCCTCCATGCCCTTCTCCTCCATGCCCTTCTCCTCCATGCCCTTCTCCTCCATGCCCTTCTCCTCCATGCCCTTCTCCTCCATGCCCTTCTCCTCCATGCCCTTCTCCTCCATGCCCTTCTCCTCCATGCCCTTCTCCTCCATGCCCTTCTCCTCCATGCCCTTCTCCTCCATGCCCTTCTCCTCCATGCCCTTCTCCTCCATGCCCTTCTCCTCCATGCCCTTCTCCTCCATGCCCTTCTCCTCCATGCCCTTCTCCTCCATGCCCTTCTCCTCCATGCCCTTCTCCTCCATGCCCTTCTCCTCCATGCCCTTCTCCTCCATGCCCTTCTCCTCCATGCCCTTCTCCTCCATGCCCTTCTCCTCCATGCCCTTCTCCTCCATGCCCTTCTCCTCCATGCCCTTCTCCTCCATGCCCTTCTCCTCCATGCCCTTCTCCTCCATGCCCTTCTCCTCCATGCCCTTCTCCTCCATGCCCTTCTCCTCCATGCCCTTCTCCTCCATGCCCTTCTCCTCCATGCCCTTCTCCTCCATGCCCTTCTCCTCCATGCCCTTCTCCTCCATGCCCTTCTCCTCCATGCCCTTCTCCTCCATGCCCTTCTCCTCCATGCCCTTCTCCTCCATGCCCTTCTCCTCCATGCCCTTCTCCTCCATGCCCTTCTCCTCCATGCCCTTCTCCTCCATGCCCTTCTCCTCCATGCCCTTCTCCTCCATGCCCTTCTCCTCCATGCCCTTCTCCTCCATGCCCTTCTCCTCCATGCCCTTCTCCTCCATGCCCTTCTCCTCCATGCCCTTCTCCTCCATGCCCTTCTCCTCCATGCCCTTCTCCTCCATGCCCTTCTCCTCCATGCCCTTCTCCTCCATGCCCTTCTCCTCCATGCCCTTCTCCTCCATGCCCTTCTCCTCCATGCCCTTCTCCTCCATGCCCTTCTCCTCCATGCCCTTCTCCTCCATGCCCTTCTCCTCCATGCCCTTCTCCTCCATGCCCTTCTCCTCCATGCCCTTCTCCTCATGCCCTTCTCCTCCATGCCCTTCTCCTCCATGCCCTTCTCCTCCATGCCCTTCTCCTCCATGCCCTTCTCCTCCATGCCCTTCTCCTCCATGCCCTTCTCCTCCATGCCCTTCTCCTCCATGCCCTTCTCCTCCATGCCCTTCTCCTCCATGCCCTTCTCCTCCATGCCCTTCTCCTCCATGCCCTTCTCCTCCATGCCCTTCTCCTCCATGCCCTTCTCCTCCATGCCCTTCTCCTCCATGCCCTTCTCCTCCATGCCCTTCTCCTCCATGCCCTTCTCCTCCATGCCCTTCTCCTCCATGCCCTTCTCCTCCATGCCCTTCTCCTCCATGCCCTTCTCCTCCATGCCCTTCTCCTCCATGCCCTTCTCCTCCATGCCCTTCTCCTCCATGCCCTTCTCCTCCATGCCCTTCTCCTCCATGCCCTTCTCCTCCATGCCCTTCCTCCTCCATGCCCTTCTCCTCCATGCCCTTCTCCTCCATGCCCTTCTCCTCCATGCCCTTCTCCTCCATGCCCTTCTCCTCCATGCCCTTCTCCTCCATGCCCTTCTCCTCCATGCCCTTCTCCTCCATGCCCTTCTCCTCCATGCCCTTCTCCTCCATGCCCTTCTCCTCCATGCCCTTATTCCCCACGCCTTCTGGACTCTCCGCACTAGACGCCTGCTCTTGCTTTTCTCCTTCCAACGACGCTTCAGCCCCATTTCCCTTTTCTCCTACGTCTGGCGAACTGCTTGTGCGCTTCCCCACTACTTCCTCCTCCTTTCCCCCATCCCCCTCCTCTGTGCCTCTACCGCTCTCATCCACAGTGCTCGCACCCGCCTCGCCCCTGTTCACATCAGCCGCATCACCCTCTGCTGCGCTGCTGCCCTGGGTGCGAGCCGCGTCCTCCCTGGCGCGTCTGGCGGCCAGGCAGGGCGGGTGGAAGAACCCCACGAACGACTGGCTCGGCACCACACACAGCGGCAGCCGGGGCATGCCTGCCACCCCACCACCACCATCGCCGCTGCTGCTGCTGCTGCTACCAGCGTGGGAGGCACCAGGGCCCGTGTTTCCTCCACCATCCTGGGTCCCTGCTTTATCAGGTGCCCAGTCGTGGGCCTCTGCACCCACGGCCTGCCCGCCACAGTCGGACTGCGCGTGGGAGGGCGCATCGGAGTGGGAGTGGGAGTGCTGCTGCTGCACGGCAGCCAGAACGGTATCAAGGTCAAAGTGCCCGTCAGGGAAGCGTTGGTGGAAGTCGCTGAGGGCGCGCAGGCGCCGCCAGTCCGCCGACCCGGCATGGATGAGGTCGTCCAGCTCCGCCTGCCCTGGCAGCGTGCCCTCCCCGTGCGCATGCTCGTGCACCCACGCCGCTATGTGCGCCACCAGCAGCGCACACGCTCCCTCGCCAGCGGCGCTCGCGTGGCACTGGTCCACGGTCGCCAGGAACACCGGCGCGCACAGCCTCGCCGTGCCGTCGCGACTCACCACCTCACGGCGCTCCCACTGCCCCACTAGGAACTCGTCCCCAAACAGCTCCCGCACGCTGGATGCCGATGGGGACACCGCCCCTTCCTCTACCTCATCCGCACTCGCTGCCTGCTGCTCCTCCAGAGGCAGCTTGTAAAGGGGATGCTCCTGCTCGGCCTCGAGTGCCTTGCGCCTGTCCCAGTCGATCTCGTCGCCCCCCTTCTCCCCATACGCCTTGTGCAGCAGCGGCTCGCCCCTCTCCTGCAGCGACAGCGTGCGCAGGAAGAGCAGCGGCCGCCGCAGAAACGCGCCCACGCCCGCACCCCCTCCGCCTCCGCCCCCGGCCCCACCTCCGCCCGAGGTGGCAGCAAGGGCTTAGCTGGGAGGAAGGGCGGGAGGAGAAAGGACTTAGAAGGGGGAGGGGCGTCGGCAGGGAGGGGGTCGAGTGGCGAGATGGGGGACGAATCCCTGCTGCCTTGGGCAGGGGGAGGGCCTTGCTCGCCTTGGGTGGAGGCAGCACAGGCAGCAGGTGCGAGTTCAGACGTGGCTTCTGGTGCTGACGATGCGGGCTGTGGCGCTGGTGGCGAGGGCAGGTCGGGTGTGGGCGCAGGTGCAGGGGGCAGGCGGGGGGTGGAGGAGAAGAAGAGGAAGGGCGAGGTGAAGGTGAAGAGGCGTGGCGCTAAGGGCGACCGCAGAGGAGCAGTCGCTCGCTGCTCCTCCTCCGCTGCACCTCCCCCACCCTCTGCGCCCACTGCTCCCTCCTCACCACCTCCCTCCCTGCCTGCCTCCATTGAAGCTATATGCGCTTCTTGCATTGCGGCCTGCCCTCTGTCACTATGCACGCTGCAGGGTTGGGCGGGCAGGGAGAGGGTGCGAGGGGGCGAGGGCAGGGCGTGGGGCAGCAGGTGCAGCATGCGCATGCGTGTGTGCACGGGTCCTCCCACGTGCCCTCCCAGGTTCACCTCTGCCAGCGGCCCATAGCACAGCGCCTCCGCTGCTACCATCTCCTCCTCGCCCTCCTCACACTCACTCTCTGCCTCTCCTCCCTCCCCCCTCTCTGCATCCTCCTCTGCCTTCTCCCACACTGCCAGCTCACTCGTCAAGCCCCCATTCTCCTCCCACAACATGTTGCTCCCTCGCTCCTTGCTCTCACCCTCTTCGCCCTCCTCCCCCGTCCCCTCATCACCCCTCCCTCCTAGCCCCGCCACCTGTTTCCCGCTTGGCCTGCCCCGCGCACGTCCTGCCCCATCCACTGACACTGACCGCCGCCACACCCCTCCCCGCAGCACATCCAGCAGCCCCATGCCCATACCCATACCCGTGCCCGTGCCCGTGCCCGTGCCAATCCCCGTGCCTGCGCTCGCGCTCGCGCCAGCGCCTGTGTCCGCACCACCGCTCACGTCCGCATTGCCAGACGCCCCCTTGTTGTCTGCCAGGGACTCGCCTTCCCCCTCCGCCCCAGCACCTTCACGCGCTCCCTGCTGCTCCACGGCACTGCCTGTGCGCCTCGGTGTGTTCCCGGCACTCAGCTGCACCCCACGATGGCCGTCACCACCACCACCAGCCAATGCCTCCATCCCATCCGCGCTGCTCACCTGCCGCCCCTCCATTCCCTGCCCGCCACGCCCACTCTCCCCCTCCTCGCCATCACTCGCCCTCCCCTCCACCTGCTCCCACTCTGTATCGCCGTCCGTTCGCTCCCAATCGGCCTCCTCCTGCTGCCCACCTCCGCTGCTCTGCTCCGCACCGCCGCTGCCTGCAGCACCATGCCCCCCGCCCTCGCCTGCCCTGTCCGCCGCGCCCAGGGGCAGCGCGGGGCTCTTGCTCTCCCGGCTGCGCCGCTGCCACCCCTACAGCCCCCCCAGGTGCACCCCGCCACCCACCCCCCCCCGCCTCCCTCACTCCCACCCCTGCTGCTGCTGGGGCGCCCGCGGCTGGCGTGGCTGCCATTGTTGTCGGTGCTGAGGCTTGGGCCGGGACTGGTGCTGCCGACTGGAGTGCGGCTGGGGATGGGGGGGCGGAGGCTGCTTGCGGCAGCTGAGTGCACTCCATTAAAGTGATTGATGTAAGGTGGAAAGCGTAGAGTGTCCAACATAGTCAAAGACAGATGGTGGCAAGGCAGACCATGTCCTACCGTATGCCAAGGGAAGTTACGGGATCTAGGAGCTCACTAAATAGTGTTGACATGACATACGGGGGTGTAAAATTGTTACATGCAAAAGCAAGCAATATCTACATGCAGTGCTTTATTGAACAACAATGAAGCAAGGCACCAGCCAGCAAGCCTTCAACAAAACCAACGATAAATAGAAAGTGGTGTGCGTCCCTGGCTCAGCAGCAGCCACACTCTTGGACAGCAGTCCTGATTCTCATTCACCACCCAACCCAAGCACTGCACGAGCACCAGCAGCACACCCTGCTGCTTGACAGCTGGCTGTCCTGCTCCTTCACAACGGATGCTGCCACGGCCACGGAGCGGCATAGCTTGGCATCAATGCCTTGCCACCCTAACAGCAGCAGCCCCACTAGATGCCATACACCCATGCTGCACGGAAGCAGCAGCCCCTCTAGATGCCGTACACCTGCAGCGATGGCAGCAGCTCGTCCCCCGCTCCTTCACATCCGTCGCCGGCCACGGCCACGGAGCGGCAGAGCTCCACAGCAATGTGTTGCCATTCTCAAATCACACACCCCTCTAGATGTCGTACACTTGCACGGACGCCAGCAGCTCATCTTGCTCCTTCACAGCCGGTGCAGCCACGGCCACGGAGCGACAGAGCTTGACGGCGTCGGCAGGAGTGACGAAGAGCCACTGCTCTCCCATCTCCGCCAGGAAATTGGCGTCCCACAGCTTGCGCAGCACATCCCTGGATGCACTGGAGAGGCAGAGCTGGAGGAGGGACGACGGGAGGGGGTGGGGGTTGGGTTGAAATGGGTGACAAGAGGTGGGAAGGGATTGCGGTGGGTGACGAAGAGCCACTGCTCGCCATCTCCGCCAGGAAGTTGGCGTCCCACGGCTTGCGCAGGATGTCCCGTGATGCACTGGACAGGCAGAGCTGCATGGGAGTGGGGAAAATGGGGGTGAGGCGCGGTGGAAGTGAGTGGGTTGATGGAAGGAAAAGGTAAAAGTCACTGCTCGCCCATCTCGGCCGGGAAGTTGGCGTCCCACCCACAGCTTGCACAGGGCGTCCCTTGACAAACTGGATAGGCAGAGCTGGAGAGGGGTTGAGATGGGTGAGGAGAGGTCGGAGGGGAGTGCGGGGAGTGAAGGGTGTGCAGAGGAAGGTAAGAGCCACTGCTCGCCCATCTCCGCCAGAAAGATTGCCTCCCACAGCTTGCACTGCATGTCAGCCCACGGCCCAATCCCCACTATTTCTGACAGGTCTCGGTGCCGCTGCTCCAGCCCACCGCTTTTATGGGCGCCAATGTTCATCATGCCATCACCTTCGCTCCTTACTCCTACCCCTCAACCCGTCTGTACCTGAATGCTCTTCTCAGACAGGTCTCGGTGCCGCTGCTCCAGCCCACCGCTTTTATGGGCGCCAATGTTCATCATGCCATCACCTTCGCCCCTTACTCCTACCCCTCAACCCGTCTGCACCTGAATGCTCTTCTCAGACAGGTCTCGGTGCAGCTCCTTCAACCCATCGATGCCCGACACGTCAATGTCGTGCATTACACTCAGATCCAGAATGCAGTGCTGTGGCGTGGGAGGAGGAGAGGGACGGGAAAGGAGGGAGAGGAGAGGGGAAGAGAGTGTGATAAGCAGCACGTCAGTGTCGCATGACACTCAGATCAGATCCAAGATGCAGGGCTGTGGGGTGGGAGGAGGCACATGTCAGTGTCGTGCAAGCCGCACAAGTCAAGAATGCAATGCCGTGGGGTGTGGAGGAGGAAGAGAGTGCAAGGAGAAATCAGCCCAAGGAAAGTACAGGCGGGCTCCCCCCATATCCCCAACCCCCCACCCTCAGCAACCATTCCCCCAGCCAAACCCCTCAATAGTGGCACAATCACCAGACTCACTCACCCGCACAGGTTGCTGGTACCCTCTCGCATACGCATCACAGAGCTTCTTGATGCGCTGCCGGCAGAAGTTGGCGGCAGGGAAGTACAGCGGGCTCTCGATCCTCAGCATCACGATCCCCTCGCACAGCGTGCTGTTGGGGAACTGTAGCACGCTCACGGCTGTAGCGGCGCCGCCCGGGAGCAGGCCCAGCAGGCGGATGTGCGGACGAATGATGCGGAGGAGCAGCTTGAGGACGGAGAGGACGGAGGCGACTAGCAGGCCGATCTCGGGCGAGCCGAAGATGATCCCGAGGAAGCAGCCCAGCATGACCATGAAGTCCAGCTTGTCTACCCTCCAGATCATAAACGCTGCCTTGAAGTCCAGCTGAGATGAGATGAGAGAGGGGAGGGGGGAGATGAAGGGGAAGAGTGATGGGAGCAGCCGAGCATGACGATGAAGTCCAGCTTGCCTACCCTCCAAATCGTAAACGCTGCCTTGAAATTAAGCTGATGGGGGGAGGGAGGAGGGAGGTGAAGGGGAAGAGCGATGGGAGCAGGCGAGCATGACTGTGAAGCCCAGCTTGTCCACCCTCCAGATCTGAAATGCGGCTTTGAAGTCCAGCTGAGAGGGGGGAGCGGTGATGGATGGGAGGGGATGGGATGGGACGAGGGAAGAAGGGAAGCAAGTGGGCATGGTTACAAAATGGGTGGGGGGGCAATGATGGGGAGGAGGGGAGGGGGCAAGGCGATAGGGGGGAACAGATAAAGGGGGGAGCAAGTGGGAGCAGCTAATGGAGGGACAAGTTGAGGTATGTGAGCAAGAAGAAACGGGGGAGGAGCAGAGATGAAAGGGAAGGAGGTGAGGGGGCAAGTGGACGGAGGAGGGAAGAGGGAGAACCAGGAAAGAACGGCGATGGTGAGGAGCAAGGAGGGAGATAGGGAGGAGGGCGGTACCAGGTTAAGCACAGAGTTGGCAATGACAGCTCCCACCACACACTGCAGAGGGGGGGAGAGAGGGAGGTGGGGGAGGAGCATTCGAGAAGAGAACAAGAAAGGGGAGAGCGGGAGGGCATGGGGAGAAGGGAACAGGGAAGAAATACTTATTAAGGGAAAGGGAATATTGGTACGGCAGGGAGTGATGTGGGTGTGAGAGGGTGCAAGGCTCGCCCAAGAGGCAAGGCAGGAGGACACAGGAGGCAAAAGGGAGGAGGAAGGGGGGGGGAGTGGGGTATACACTGAGCCTATTGTAAGGTAAGTGAAAGTAAATAGGAGGAAGCGGAGGTGAAGTGGAAGCGGGCACACTGGACGGAGGGGAAACTTGCAGTAAGCATGGATTGGACGGCTAAAGGAGGGGGAACTTGCACTATGCACTGATTGGACGGCAAAAGGAGGGGAAACTTGCACTATGCACGGATTGGACGGCAAGGAGGGGGAAGAATGAGGGGCCATACAGCGGGTACGTATTTGAAGGCGGGAGCGGCAGCAAGCAGCACGATAAGCATGGTGAAGGAGAGGATGATCTGCGTCAGCGCCGTGTGCGCCCCCGCTAGGATGTTCACTGCCGTGCGGGAGAAGGAGCCTGGTGGACGAGAGAGGAGAGAAAGGGAGTGGGGGGGACATGCAGGAAAGCAGCGAGGAGCAAGGTGAGGGAGACGAAAGGATGATCTGTGTTAGCGCCGTGTGCGCCCCTGCCAGTATGTTCACTGCAGTGCAGGAGAAGGAGCCTGGTGGGGGGAAGAAAGGGAGCGGGTAAGGGGAGAGAGGGGTTTGGTTGGGTTTATGCAGGAAGGCAGGCACGCGCTCACGCTTGGTGCACCTGTGCAGTGCACATGTGTGGTACTCTCCTCTCCTCTCCCGCTCACCGGGTGCAGCAGCAGCGGTGTAGGGATCTCAGACCAAGCCTGCACACACTGTGCTTGCTTGGACTAAGCATGCTCACCGCTTGTCACTGAATTGGATTGCAGTGTACCTGTGGCGACGTAGCAGGAGGTGAAGGAGCCTGAGAGGTTCATGGCTCCGTAGGCTATGAGCTGTATGCGATGAGGTGAGGGGGGGGGGAGGCGAGGGGAGGAGGGGAGGTGACGGGGGAAGAGGAGGCCAGGGCGGGAGGGGGGGAAGAGAGGGAGAAGAGAGGGAATTTGATCGCTAAGGTGAGTCTGGTTGGGAAAATGGGTGCGATTGAGGGTGTGACAGGAGCATGAGGCAATCAGCTGGCGACCAAGAGATGAGGAGGCGCAGAAAGGAGACGAGAGGAGGCGAGGGAGGGAGAGGGGGTGGTGAGGGAGGGAGTTGAGCTGAGGGAGGGTGAGGAGGAGGCGACAGGAAAGAGTGGGGAGCTTCTTGAGAGGGCGAGTGGGTGAGGTCTGTTAGAAAGCAAGAGAGTGAGTGTGGTTGCAAGTGAGTGTGGTTGAGGGAAAGTGCAATCGCGAGTGTGACAGAATGGCATTACGCACCTCTTTGTTACCATCAATGTGGTAACCATACATGCCCGCAAAAGTGCGCCCTATGCCAATCGATTCCTAAACACACACAGTAAACATTACATCGATTGAAAAAAAGGGGTAAAATTAGAAAAGGAATACAAGAACAGGGAATGCAGATGGGCAGGCCCAATCAGCCTGAAATGAAACAATGCGCTTGCAAAGCACACGAGCAGAACCACGTGCAGGGGGGAGTGGGGAAGAGGCGGAAGGGATAATTGGAGGCGGAGAGGAAAGTGTGGAAGAGGAAGGGGATGGAAGAGCAGGGGGGAGGGGGGGAGGGGAGGGGGGGGGTGGGGGGTGGGGGGGAAGAGCAGAGGAGGGGTGGTTAGTTACTCACAGCGAGGGAGACGAGGGCAGCGTAGAGGGCGATGAGGGCGACCTCGTCGGTGTACTCGTTGTGCAGATCGATGTCCCACACCGATGACATGCCGCCTAGACCTGTGGTTATGCTGCCCACCTGTGTGTAGGGCAGGGGGTGGGTGGGAGAGGGATTGGGGAAGAGGTGGGAAAGGACGGGAGAAGGAACGGATGTCCCACACCGATGACATGCCCCCTAGGCCCGTCTGTATGCTGCCCACCTGTGTGTGTGAAAGGGCAGGGGGTGAGTGAGAGGAACGGGCGACTGGGAATGCGATTGGCTGTATGTGTGGGTGCATGCGTGTGTGAGTGCCCAACCTTGAAGCCTGCACTCACCGTGGCTACACCTTGTTGTACATGCCCGAGGCGCCCACGATGATAGTGGAGATGACTATAGAGGAGATGGGGCCCAGCTGTTGAGACATCTCAACTGCACAACCTTGACTCCCACACTCACCGTGGCTACACCCTTGTTGTACATGCCCGAGGCGCCCACGATGATAGTGGAGAGGATTATAGAGGAGATGGGGCCCAGCGCATTGGCGTAGAACAGGGTCTTGCTCTTCGGGTACATCTTCGTCTGGTGGGTGGGCGGCATTGCATGGCGTGGCATGGCATGACGTGGGATGGCATGGAATGGGATGGGATGGATGGCATGTCATGGAGTGGGATTGCATGGGATGGCATGGCATGCATGGCATGTCATGGAGTAGGATTGCATGGGATGGCATGGCATGCATGGCATGGCATGGAATGGCGTGGCATGGCAAGGCATGGAATGGCGTGGCATGGCATGGCATGCATATAAAGAAATGGTTCTTGTTCTTTGTCTACATAGTAGTCTGCCAGCATGTTATAGATTTGAATGTTCATGGCTTATTCTACTGATGTCCATACCATAAATAATAGATATACATGGTATTCATCCAATCATGCCATGCCGATATGTTCATAGCCCTTTTTCAGCATGCCTGTCCCTTCCTGCCACAGGTGCCACGCATGCCACGCCACGACACAAACCATGCAGGTCGGGCTTTCAGAGGGATGGAGTGGGATACCGAGCGATATGGGTGGGTTGGTGGGATGGGAAAATAAGGGGTCGAGGCATGTGAGTGACTTACGAGAATGCGGAGGATGGTGAGGGCGATGAAGAAGGAGGAGCCGAGGACGAATGCACGCCATTGGAACTGCACCATGCACACGCAGGGGGCGGATGACACGTGGGGGGAGGGGGATGAGCACATGGGGGGGTGGATGTGTGCATGGGGGGGTGGATGTGTGCATGGGGGGGTGGATGTGTGCATGGGGGGGTGGATGTGTGCACGGGGGGGTGGATGTGTGCATGGGGGGGTGGATGAGCACATGGGGGGGTGGATGTGTGCATGGGGGGGTGGATGTGTGCACGGGGGGGTGGATGTGTGCATGGGGGTGTGGATGTGTGCACGGGGGGGTGGATGTGTGCATGGGGGGGTGGATGTGTGCATGGGGGGGTGGATGTGTGCATGGGGGGGTGGATGTGTGCATGGGGGGGTGGATGTGTGCATGGGGGGGTGGATGTGTGCATGGGGGGGTGGATGTGTGCATGGGGGGACGCATGAGCACATGGGGGGACGGATGAGCACATGGGGGGACGCATGAGCACATGGGAGGGCGGTAGAGGAGGATTGGGGCATTTGAAAAGGAAGCACGCGGGGGAGCAAATAGAGGCGGGGATGGTCAGGAAGCACTGCACAGCACCGAGCAGCACCACACACCATCACATAGCACCCACCTCATAAGAGTATTCAGCAACAGCCTTGAAGATGTTGACAATGCTGGTGCTGAGCGTGAAGTCCTTGTACCCCAGAATGGGCTTCAGCTGCTGCAGCGCGATGGTGAGGGAGCACCCTGCTAGGAACCCCGCGATGGTGGGCTGGCTCAGTAGATCCACCAAGAACCCCATTCTGTTGGGGGGGGGGGAGTGAGGGCGGGTGCGGAGCAGGGGAGAGGGGAGCAAGGGAGGACGAGCGGGAGCTTCAGCTGCTGCAGTGCGATGGTGAGGGAACACCCCGCTAGGAACCCCGCGATGGTGGGCTGGCTCAGAAGGTCGACCAGGAACCCCATTCTGTGGGAAAGAGACGGGAGAGCGGGGGAAGGGCAAGGGAGGGCGAGCAGCACCTTGAGCTGCTGCAGTGCGATGGTGAGGTCCTGCCAGGAACCCAGCAATGGTGGGCTGGCTCAGAAGGTCGACCAGGAAACCCATTCTGTGGAGGGGAGAAGGGAGGTCGACCAAAGACACCAATCCCCTCCTTCCCCCTCCCGCCCCCATTTCCCACATGCGCACCCCCATTTCCCCCTTCCTCATTCCCCATGTCCCAATTTCCCATCTCGCATTCTCCAATCCCCTTTTCCCACCTAAAAGGCCCGAATCCCGCCTGTCCACACCCCCCTTTGTCGCCCACCTGAGGAGCCCCATGGCGAGTTGGAAGAGGCCGCAGAGGAAGGTGGTGGTGGTGAGCAGCGAGTTGTAGAGGGCGGGGTCCGTGGCGGGGTCCACCTGCGCGCTCAGCTGCTCGCCCAGCAGCTGCGACACCACCGACACCGGCCCGATCACCATGTGCTTCGATGAGCCAAGGATCGCGTACATCAGCGGCGGCAGGAAACTCGTGTCTGCACGCACGGGGAGACGCGGGCGGTGGGAGCGGTTGGGAGCGGTTGGGGGTGGTGGAAGGGGATTTTTGAGGCGCTAAGCAATAACACTGACACCGGCCGGGCCAATCAGCATGTGCTGAGATAAACTAGCACCACCGCGTACAACAGCGGCGGCAGCAAACTCGTGTTGGGACGGAGAGAGCGATTGAGAGCGGTGGAAGCGGGTTCGAGAAAAGAGGGAGGTGAGAGCGGTTGAACACGGTGAGTGGGCGGTTGGGGAACGAGGAAGGTGAAAGCTGTTACGAACGGTGGACGGTGGTTGGGGAAAGGAGGTGACGGCGCGAAAAGCAAGGCAAGAATTGCATGAAAGGGCTACGCAATTGAAAGCAGAGGGGTTAGAACGGTGAGGTGAGGTGAGGGAAGGAAGGGAGAGGACTGGGACAACAATTGAGGGCGAGGCGAGCGCGGCTTACAGAGAGCGAACTCCTTGGGGGCGTTGGCGTACCTAGCGTACGATACATCCTGGCGATTGGCGTGGGGGAGGAAGGGCACGAGGGGGACATGGGAAAGGGAGGGCGGGCTGATGCGGAGGGTGAGCAAGACAATGTGACAGACGAAGGGGTTGGCGTGACGACATGGGTAGGTCAAACTCCGAGAGGGATTCTACGATGCTTTATGGCTGCTTGAAGAGCTGTAGGGACTGATTTGTACTTGGACAAACGTGCTGCGTTACTGTTGGAAAACGGTCCTACACGAAAAGAAGCATCCTTGAAGTGAAATCTTACTGCGCTAGCGTTGCGTTGACGCCGCACCTGCGCGACCAACATCACGTCATTGTCTCACCTGCGGCACGACATGGAGTCGAAGCCTCACCTGCGGCACGGACACGGCGTCGGCGGCTCACCTGCGGCACGGACCTGGCATCAGTGTCTCACCTGCGGTACGGACACGGCGTCGGCGGCTCACCTGCGGCACGGACCTGGCATCAGTGTCTCACCTGCGGCACGGACACGGCGTCGGCGGCTCACCTGCGGCACGGACCTGGCATCAGTGTCTCACCTGCGGTACGGACATGATGGCGATGGAGAGCCCTCCGATGATGTCGCCGAGCAGATAGAACCGTAGATCGTATTTCGGCAGCCATGACAGAATCGGAAACACTCCCACTAGAAATATCCATATCTTCTCCTTCCACGTCTTATCGCGAAATTGCTGTACCGGGTCGGCTTCCGGGAACAGCACCCATTTGAGCGGCATCAGTGACTCGGAGAGCTCGTCTCGTAGAGTCACATCCGGCATTGGCACATTCATGCCTTCCACGTCAGTAGGCTCGGGCTCTACCCGAGTCGGAAGGCCCTGGAAGTCCGACATCGGACCGCCTTGCCATTCCACGTCTTCCCCTTGCCATCCCCCGCCTCCGCCTCCGCCTCCGCCCCCTCCGCGGTCGCTCCCCGCTTCCCCATCGGCGACTGGGTAGCTTCCAGAATTGGGTCCAGTTTCCGGGTTGTCGTCTTCTGGTTTCAGTGGTATTGGAAAATCAAATCCTAAATTATCGTCCATGGGTGGCATTTGAGTGAATATGTATAGATATGCTGAACGAAACTATCTCGCAAACTCCTTCCGTACGGTAGGCTTTAGCTACTGTTGGCACGAGGTCCAACGTGAAGATGTCCAATTTTCTCCTCGGGTTGACAGTGTGCCTAGCTCTAGATTTGTTCAAGTATCCTAACAACCGCACCAAAGTTGACAACTCACACAATTGAGAGATACCAGAGGCGCGTCATAAATAACGAACGCAAACACGGGAAGAAACCTATTGCAAATGAGGTAGGTAGGTCGAAACTGAACTTGACTGGCTCTATCCGTTTTCTGTAATGGCGGCGGTCGTTGGAGGGGAACAATCCCAAGGTGCTTTGCCACCTAGAGGGAGGAGGGCATGAGGGGGACAATTTCGAGGGAAGGTGAAGAGGGGCTTGGAGAAGGTCGGGCAGGTTCTCTCGGCATTTTTTAGGTGAGTGTACTCACCAACCCATCCCACCTCGGGCCATGCACTCAAATCTGCTGTTCGTGTACACGAGAAGCAGCGGTAAAGTTTCTTTTGATACAGTTCAGCTGTCCATCGCTTCCCGTGGGCTCACGTTTGGAGCACGTGCTTCTGTGGTGAGGAGGCACAGTTACATTGGGCGGCGATTGTTCGCGAAAACGTTTGCGAGATATTGGCGGATGAGCCAGCGGAGGAAAAACCCTTCACCAGTTACCCGAACGAAGCAGCCCAACCAATCACGTAATGCTTCTGCCCAACTGCATTTATAGACCCAGTGACATTTCAGTTGCGCGCGCTGACAGCAAGCAACTACACATGTACAAACACACTGTTTATCGGAACATGGTTTATGTCTCGCTGGCCATTGCTGACCAGGACTGCCAGCCAACCAACAAGGAGGGCCCGCCCCCACTTCTCCCCACCTCCTGCAAGCTGGATAGAGAGTTCCCGTTCTCGAGATAGTGAGGGCCAGAGAGAGTCGCTGTTATGAGTTGTAAAGGAGAGTGCGCGGAATAACGAATAACGAAGATGTGACTCAATGAACTGACAATACAATGAAGGCACGCGCTAATATAGTGGGTCAACCTAGCTAGGCGGGAACCTCGGGAACACGAGGTTGGGTGCAGGTTGGGCAAAGGAAAGCCGAAGGCGACGCGAGGTTGCTTCGGCAGCAAGCAAAGTGGCCGAATGTGCACTTCCGAAAGTTGGGGTTGTACGCGGTTGAGTAAACCCCTGTAAGGAAAAGGGTTTTTCCTTACAGTCGCCAAACATTGACTCATTCTCGATTCAGTGTACGGTGATACATCAAACAAAGCTGACTTTGTCTCCATTCATGAGCCTACAGTCACCTTATCTGCTCCAACAATGTACGAAAATAATCCTTTGGCGTTTCCCCTCACAGCACTCCACGCAGCTCCCAGTCGTTTCTGGTTATTCCTTTGCCATGCGACATCCGGTTGATTGTTCTCCACCGTGACGCCAGTGTCTCTTGCGTGTTGCACCCCTGTGGCTTGATCTGAATGTGAATCACCCCTTAGATTTCCCTCTTCACCAATAGAAGGCCCTGCTGATAGCAATTCTTCCCTGTATTCTCCAGGACCCGAAGCAGGAGTAGCAGCAGGGGCAGAAGCAGAGAGAGCTTGAGAAGCCACAGGTGTGACATCATCGCCTGCAGCTCCTCCAGAACCAGTACTGGCAAATTCAGCGCTCTTTGTCCTTCCCTGCTGGTCTGAAATCAATCGCACGGATCCCTGCTGCTGCCCTCCCCTCTCCCTGTCTTGCTGGTGATGCATTGCGTGTGCACCACCAATGCTGCCACTACCACCACTGCTACCCCTCGCTGACTCTCCCCCTGCTCCTCCTTCCCGCCCACCACCTCTCATGGCCACCCCATCTTTACCCTGCCATCCACCCGTGTTCTCCCTATCACACTCCCCCGCTGCCATTCCTCCCTCTGCCCGCGCACCACCATCACCTTCCTCTTGCCGCACTGAATCTGCTCCTAAATCCCCTCCTGGGCGGTGGTCCCTAGACGTTTCAGCGTTGCTGCTGGTATTATAAACACGGGCAACGGCAGCTACAGGATCAATAGGGCCGGGAGGGGCACTGCGAGCACTAGAATCAATTCTGGACGGTCCTGCTGCCGGTGCAGTGGGTGGTGCCGCAGCAGTGGTAGCAGCAGCAACAGCAGTGGCAGCAGGGGCAGGAGAAGCAGGAGCACCAGCAGCAGCAGCAGCAGCACCAGGGGCTGCAGCAGCGGGTTTACTCGAGAAGAAGGCAAAGAAAGAGGGCGTTGCTTGCTGGCTGTCACCAAGCGACGTTGCTGCATGTGACTGTAACGAAGGGGGCTGCTCCGTGGGGAAGCACGACACTGGATCGGGCCCGTCGTCCCCATCCTCCTCCGCCGCTTCGCCTCCACCCCCCTCGCTCCCTCCACCATCCCCAACACCTGCCCTCTCATCCATCCCTCCCCCACCTGTCCTCTCATCCATGCCAGCCCCACCTGCCCTCCTGCTGCTCCCACGGCCATCCCTTGCCCCATTCTCCTCTCCTCCCCTTCCCTGTGCTACTTCCATCCCCTCTATCAGCCCCTTCTCTTGCTGCTCGCGACCCTCCTTCTGCCTTGCTCCTTTCCCCTCTTCCCCTCCCTCTCCCGTTTCTCCCTCTCCCTCTCCCCCCCCATCAGCCCCTCCCACGTCCCCCACTCGTCTCCGCAGTGCGAGCACCTCAGCAGCCATCTCCCCCGCGCGCCTCTCCATGTCCCGCTGCCGCTGCTGCAGCACCTCGTTGCCCTCCACCAATTCCGAGTTCAGGTCTATCAGCCGCTCAATCACCTGCTTGTGGGGGGGGGGGAAGATAGGGAGGGGGGGAGCGGGGAGAGGATGGGGGAGGAAAGTATGGTTGATACTTAAGGCGCCTCAGTGATCGGCTGCTGCAGCGCCTCACCGCCCTCCACCAGCTCCCAGTTCAGGTCTATTAGCGGCTCTATCACCTGCTTGCAGGGGACGGAGAGGGGGAAAAGCGGAGGAGGAGGGGAGAAGTGTGATGTGTTGTAGATACATGAAATAATTCCAGATGTATCGACCACACCCATCATCATCATAACCATCACCATCACCGTGATAACCATCACCATCATCACCATCCCCGTCACCATTACCACCACCATCATTCTCACCTTCCCCTGCCGCTGCAGGTTGACCTCGAGGGCCTCATTCTCCCACCGCACGCCAGCCAGTGCGTGTCATACATCCATCATCATCCCATCACCATCACCATCACCATCACCATCACCATCACCATCATACCACCACAATCCCAATCTTCCTCACCTTCCCCTGCCGTTGCAGGTTGACCTCGAGGGCCTCATTCTCTCGCCGCACACCCGCCAGTGCCTGCAGCGCACTGTCCTTCTCCTTGCGGCACTCCTCACACTGCCGCATCAGCGCCTTTGTCACTTCCGCCTGCCATTACATCGCCGTCCGCACAAGCATGCACATGTGTGGTGAGGATGGATGGTCATGCCACACCATACCACACCACACACAAAAATTCAGCCCCAAAAGACGAGAAAATTTGTGCAAATCTTCTGAGTTTTGAGGAAGGAAGGAAAAGGCAGCCATAACTGAAGAGAAGGTGCAATGCAACCAAGCAGGCATCATGGATGGTAGCAGCAATGTGAAAGGATACAGGAACTCATATATCTTGACTTTACCTACCTTCTCCTTGTCCGCCTGGTCTCTGCTCCGCAGCTCCCTCTGCGCCTGCTTCGTCCCCATCAGCGCCTCGTTGCGCTCCCTCACCGCCTCCTGCCAGAACGCGTGGATCTCCCTGCGGTGAGGAGGGGTGGTGGTGGTGGCAGAGCATGGGAGGCAGTGATGAGAATGTTTTAGGCGCCTCGAGAACCGTTGCGCTCCCCTCACCGCTTCCTGCCAGAACGCATGGATCTCCCTGCGGTGAGGAGGGGTGGTGGTGGTGGCAGAGCATGGGCGGCAGTGATGAGAATGTTTTAGGCGCCTCGAGAACCGTTGCGCTCCCCTCACCGCTTCCTGCCAGAACGCATGGATCTCCCTGCGGTGAGGAGGGGTGGTGGTGGTGGCAGAGCATGGGCGGCAGTGATGAGAATGTTTTAGGCGCCTCGAGAACCGTTGCGCTCCCCTCACCGCTTCCTGCCAGAACGCATGGATCTCCCTGGGAATGGGGAGGGTGGTGGTGGTGGCAGAGCATGGGGGTAGGGATGAGAAACAGGACCAGACAACGGGTGGATCCAGGAGACGGATGGAGGGGAATGGAGAAAAATGGAGAGAAGTGAGAAGGGGGGTGGTGGTGGCCAAGGATGGGCTGCAGGGATGAGAACCAGGACCAGAAAGCGGGTGGAGATCCAGGCGAAGAATGAAGGGGAATGGAGAGACATGGAGGGAGACGGAACGGAATGGAATGGAGGAAAATGGAAGAGATTGGAGGGGAATGGAAGAGAATGTGGGGAAATTGAGAGAAAAGGAGGGAAATGGAAGAGAATGGAGGAGAATGACAGGGGGGGCTTGAAGCATGGGAGAAAAAAAAGCAGGGGCTCATGGCACGAGAAAGGCTTGAAGTGAGCGACAAAAGAAATAATATATACATAAATAAAAGAGCTTTAAAGGAGTGGTCCAGGAGCATGACGAGGAGGGTGGTGTCAGTGCGGTCCGTTCCATACATGGCTGCTCTGTCCCGACGTATAATCTCCTGCTGCTGCTGACTGAGCCGCGTCTGCAGATGCACCTCCCTCAGCCTCGCCTGCCTCTCCGCCTGCTCCCTCACTTTCTCCACCCCCAACTTCCTCTCCTCCTCCACTCTCTCCGCCGCCTTTCTTCTCTCCTCCTCCAGTCTCTCCCCCTCCCTCCGCCTCTCCTCCTCCGCGCGCTCGACTGCCCCCTCTGCCGCCCTCACTCGCTCCTCCCGCGCTCGGGCCTGCGCGGGGGAGAGGGGGAAGGGGGAAAAGGGGAAAGGGGAACGGGGAGAGGGGACGAGGGGAAAGGCTGAAAGGGAAACGCTAAATGGGGACTTACTTCTCAACCGTTTCAAAACCAATATTACCACCCACCCTCATCCCCCACTCCTCCTTCCCCTCTCCTCCCGCCCGATCCCCCCACCCCCACCCCCCCAACTTCCCCTCCCCGTTCCTCTCCTCCCCTCCCGCACCTCCGTGGCGCGCGTCTCCTGCAGCTGCGCCAACTGCGCGTCGGCAGCCGCTTTCTCGTTCTCCAGCAGGGTTATGTATTGCGCGGCGCGGCTCTGCCACTCCTCCAGCTGTCGCAGCGCCACCACCGCGGCCGACCACTCCCCGTGGCACGCGCACGCGCAACCCGCCGTCGCTGACGCCGGCAGCGGGGCTATTGCGGAATCTCCCATAGGGGATGGCGGAAAAAGAACGATTCGCGGGAGCTGGATAACGAGAGGTGAATGTGGCCCTAAGAACTATTAGTCCTAGTGGCGGATCGCGTGGAAGTATCTGATAGAATTGGTTTGGCTAAACAAGACACGGATTAGCAATGACTAGGAATCCACCCTATTATGAACAGGCTGGTGGAAAAGCGTCCCGTGTAACGGCGAAGAACAGGGTAAGTGAGAGGTTGGTCTCATTGGGATATATGGTGGTGTCGCGGTGTCCTCGCAAGAAACAGCTTCCAACGCGGTCCAAAAATCGTCTGGTAAGATACGGCGGTTTGAGGTTTCAGGTGATGAATCGCCTCGTTATCGCGAGACGACGAAGACGCTCGTTCACAATTCCCATCACGTGACTAGCAAGACATCGCATGGCTAGCAAGACATCGCATGGCTAGCGACATATGAATTACTAGAAAACAGGGATTGATACGATTGATACGCGTCATAGCTGCAGGCAACGGATAGAGCAGATCGAGCCACCATAACTTGGAGCACTAGCAAGACTGATGTGAATGACCATGGCGTGGAATGGGACTGGCCACTAGACTCGATAGGTGAAAGTCATTCATGTGCGAACGTTTCGAGTCCACGCGCTGACACCAGCTGAGCTGACGCGCTGTGCTTCCTGCTGCGGGCTCGTTTGACTGGCTGGGCTCGCTGGCAGGCGCGCGGGGGTTGGGATGGGCGGAAAGGGGAGGCGGGAAGCTGCGAAGTGGGGGGAGTTGACGGGGCAAAATTGAGGGGGAAGTCAGCCGCGGAGAATTCGAGGACGCAGTGCTGGTGTTATGAATGAACTTGCAGAGTGCGCAGAATATCGAATAACGAGAATGGAAATTACAGAATTACTGAATGACGATACAATGAGAATGCCGAGGCCTAAATAGGGGGAAGCTAGCTAGGCGGAGAGGTCGGGCGAGATGGCTCGGTGATGGTTGCGATTGGAGCGGAGGCCGATTCGGGAGTGGTTCGGCTGACGAATTAGGCCGATCAGGTTCGTCGCGTGACCTTCGGGATGTACTCGCTAAAGTGCGAGTACAGTAAGGAGTTACAATTCCTTACACTATCCCACCTCCTAAATAAGGCAGCCCTGTATGTAGACGAAACCTTCAATAGCGAGTGTGCCCTTGATCTTCCCTTCAGCTGAATCCGACGGCTGAAATGCCTTTGACGATATTTTTGAAAAGGTTGGAATGTAGGCCGTTGATGAAGTCCGATTTCGATCTGACGGTCGACGATGAACTGGCCCAAAATGAAGTAGACGTTGGAATGTGGGCCGTTGATCAAGCAGATGTAGATCTGACGGTCGAAGACTGACGCGAAAAGGGAGGGAACCTGCTGACGCGAATTCAAACGCGATTGAGCAAGGACCGTTGATCGTGTCGGTGTGATCGCGATCGTCCGTCGTGCTGACGCAACCTGACAAAGTCAGAAAGCAGGGCCCAAATTTCAAGGGTAAAATACCCTTTTTGCCCTGATGGTAGGCCGCTTTTTGGCAGTTACCCTTGTGAAATCAGGCTATGAATTTTTTTACCCTAGTGAAATCAGGATTCGTTGTAAACTACACTGGTAACAATTTTGGTTACACTGGTTGTATCAGGGTACGGGCCCAACTACACTTTTACCGGATCTTTTTTTAACCGAGGATTCCGTCACAGTGCGCGCCAAGACAAAATTCTCCACGGTCCCACTGGACTATTTGTACGGTATGCCCACTGGCGCGCCAACGTAGAAGCAGTGCGCTGCACGCGCGCTCGTACGATTGGTCCGTTAAGCAAGATTTGCGCCAACGCACCCGGGTTTAGGGCGTTTCTGTTTGTCAAACAGCCTAACAACAATTCTACCCTGGTACAATCAGTGTAACAGGATTTTTTGGCTGTTTTAGGCTGCTGGCATCAGGGTACGGAAATTCTTACCCTAAGGGTCAGGGTATGGGGGGCCTGGTACCCTGATTTGCAAGAGTGGACCTAAACCTATTTTGGGCCCTGTCAGAAAGGACCGAGAGAAACGCCAAGGAAAGAACAGTGCAGCGCACTTTCTCCCCCCCTCCAAGAAACACACCAGAAAATGTTTCACAGCTGCGCCGAGATGAAAATTCAATAGCGAGTGTGCCCTTGATCTTCCCTTCAGCTGAATTCGACGGCTGAAATGCCTTTGACGATATATTTGAAAAGTGTTAGAGTAAGGACCTTGGATAGAATAGGAGGTGCTTTGGTAGAGTTGGTAGCGGAAGACTTGTAAGAACTCAGATCATAGTGAATGTAAATGACCAAGTTGATTAAAAGATAGAATACAAGAAATATAAATAGTCCTAGTCTAGCCATGTACTCTAAGGGGTACATTCCCTTATTATAACTGTTCTACAGGCAATTCTACAGTGACTCTGACTGTTGCACTACTTTCTTGTTACCGAGTCGCTGCATGTAACCTGTATGGTTACGCCTGTTGCCATTCCTCGATGGTAGGTCAAACGTCGGTCCAGATGGTCAACAGTCGCGACAGTTGACTCTTGCGACTGTTGACCTTCCTGCCCTTGATATGGGCTGATCCGATACTGCGGATGTTGCTGCTTCGATAAGGTCGGGTGCGATACTGCTACACCTACGGGAATGCCAAGTACAATTCCCTTCATACTCCAACACTCCCCTTCATTCCTGGAGGTGCGCCACGTGGCTTTTGCGAGTGACTCCGCACAGATCCGAGCAGTACTGGAACTTCTGACGTGGCAGTTTCTTCGTGAGGAAGTCAGCTGCCATTTCGCCAGTTGGACAGTAGGTGAGCTGGACTTTCCCTTTGTCGATTTCGTCCTTCACGAAGAAGTAACGCAGGGCGATGTGTTTCGTGCGGTTGACGAAGCCTGGCTTGTTGGAGATTTTGATCGCGCTCTGGTTGTCGCAGAGTAACTTGAAGGACCCGTTCATCGCCGTCTTCGTTTCCTGCAGGAGTTCCGTGAGGTAGAGTCCTTCGCGAACCGCCGAGCTTGCTGCGATGAATTCTGCTTCTGCTGACGAAAGGGTGATAAGCTCCTGTTTGTTGGAGTTCCAGGAGATGGTCCCTGCAGGCTCGAGCTTGAAAATGAAGCCTGTGCGGGACCTCCTGTTATCTACGTCCCCAGCATGGTCCGCGTCCACGTAGCCTGTGAGTTGTAGAGGCGCTGTTAAGTTGGCCTTGTAAGTGAGTCCGACGTCAGGCGTAGAGATGAAGTACTGTAAGGCGCGGCGCAAGTCGGCTAGGTTCTCCCCTTCAGGTCGGCGCAGGTACTGGGCGAGCTGGCTGGCGATGTAGGACAAGTCCGGGCGGCATGTGACGGCGGCGAACAGTAGACATCCGAGCTGCTGCTGATAGAGACGGTGATCAGCCGGTGAGAGCGGAGTAGTGTCGGGCTCGTGGTTAGGCAGAGGAATGCGGAATGGGGTGGTTACACCGACGGGAGCTATCCCGAACTTCTTAGCGAGAGTCTCGGCGTACTTTGCGGCGGAGAGATGAATTGTGTCCGCGGTCTGAGTGATGTTGAGGCCGAGGAACTGAGTGACCTCGTGGTCGATCGTGACCTCCAGCTTCTCCTGAATTTCGCGTTCGAAGCGATCGAGCAGTTCGGTGTCGTCGCCGGTGTAGAGAAGGTCGTCGACGTAGGCGACGAGCAGGATGAAGTGGCCGCGGGATTCGAGGCGGTACATCCCCTGATCGTGGGGAAGCTGCTGGAAACCGAGCTCGATGAGAACGCCGTGAAGATGCTGTTGCCACAGGCGTGGTGCCTGCTTGATGCCGTACAGGGACTTTTGAAGAAGGCAAATAGCATCTCCCTCTTCCTCGAACGCATGCGGCTGCTCGACGTAGATGACGGCGTCGACGATCGCGTACAGGAACGCGTTGGAGACGTCGATCTTGCGTAGCGGACGTTGTTTGATGGCGGCGATGCAGAGAAGAATGCGCACTGAGGTGTGACGACCGACAGGTGCGAATGTCTGGTTGTAGTCAACAAACTGTGTCTGCTCGAATCCGCGAACTACCCATCGCGCCTTGAATTTTTCGACCGTCCCGTCCGCCAGGGTCTTGATGCGAAAAATCCACTTTCCTGTAAGGATCTTTCTCCCCTTTGCGTGGCGGCGTGGTACCAGCTTCCAGGTTCCACGACGTTGCAGTGCAGCGACTTCTGCGGCCATGGCGGTTCTCCACTTCTCGGCATCGGGCCCGTTGAGAGCTTGGCGAACGGTGGTGGGTTCGACCAGCTGCTGGTTACCCCGTACGGCGACAGCGAGTCCGAGGACGCGAAGGCCCGTGAGGTTGGATTCGGCCGTGGTGGTAACTTCGACCACGTCGTCGTCATCACCAGGGATGTCGCGAAGGGTGTCGCGAGATGAGTCACGAGCCGGGTCTTCGCTCATGGGTGAGTGCATTTCTGCACTTGCGTAATCGTGTTGTGCTTGTAGTGCTTCGTGGGGATCGGTGTCGGTTGGGAAAAATGTGGGAGTGGCGAACTGCTCCGTAACGGGGATGAAGGGTGCTGCGTTAGCTGCTGCTTCGTCTGGCTGTTCTCCTGCCACGTCAACATCGTCCTCATCGTTGGCGTAGCTGTGCTGTCCTTGGAAGAGGTTGTCCGGTGCGTTCTGTGCAGTGCGGTGCTGGCGGTACAGTGGCAGGGTCAGTCTTTCGTAGAAGATGCAGTCACGTGAACGCGTGAGCTGGTGGGTGGCGAAGTCCAGAATTGTCCAGGCGTGGTATTCGGATTCGATTCCGAGGTGAATGCCCCAGCGAGCGCGATCTTCAAATTTTCCGGTTCGGGCAGTGTGGGGGCGGTACTGTACCATACACCCGAAGACTCGCAGCATGCGTGTATCGGGGTGTTTTCCGGTCCACTCCTTGAAAGGCGAGCTGTTGTTGGGCAGTGCTTTCGAGGAAAGCATGTTGTGCAGCCGAACTGCATGCGCCATGGCGAAGGGCCAATACTTGGTTGGCACAGCCGACTGCTTCATGAGGGCTCGCATTTTTGTCGCGAGGCTCCTGTTGGTTCTCTCCGCCAAGCCCTGCTGCTCGTGGGCGTAGGGCAAGGAGACCATCCTCTTGATCCCTCTCTGCTGGCATAGGGTTTTGAAGTCGTCCGACATGTATTCCAGGGCTCCATCTGTCTGGAACGCCTTCAGCTTGTAGTCGTCACTTTGGTTTTCCGCCATGGCGAGCCAGATTTCAAAACAGCAGAAGGCGAGGTGGCGATCCTTGACGTTCACGGCCCAGACGAAGCGTGTGCCGGCGTCGATGAAGGTGAGGGTGTATTGCTCCCCTCCAACTCCTTTCGCCGTGAGGACCAAGAAGTCGCTGTAGACCTTCTCCAGTGGTTTGTATCGTTCGGCTCCGGGAATCTTTTCGGCAAAGGGTGTGTGGCGGAGCGCGGCTGCCGGACAGACAGTGCAGTTGGGTAGATCGGTTCGTGGTTTCAGCAGTTTACCATCGGGCAGCAACAGTGCGTCTGCCGCAAAGACATTTGCGTTGATGCAGTTGTTGAGCACCTCGATTGATGGGTGTCCCATGCGTTGATGCCAGATGTCTCCGTCAGCCCGATACCCCTTGGTGCGCGTGTACAGCTCCTTTTCTCGTGCTAATATCTCCTCTGCTGTTTCTTGCCTTGTTGCGTCCGTAGGCTCATCGGGCACGGTGACTTGAACTGCCGCTGCTTGAATTGTCACGCCATGATATGTACCGCTGGAGTCGCCGATGGCAGCAGTGTCCATTGTCACCGGCAGCTCTAGTGGTTTCTCTGGACGCGTGGGCGAGGGTCGTGCGTGACGATCTTCGAGCTCCGTAATTTCTTCTCCCTCCGGGTTGGTGTCACCGATCGCCACTCCCCTTGTCTCGAGGCGAAGATAGTCTCGACCGTCTGTCGTGATGGGAAGCAGGTGAGGCCCGTACTCCGTTAGTGATTCCTCCTCCTCTGCTTCTGGTGCTTCTTCAGTGATTTCTGGTTCTGCTGCTTCTTCTGCAGGTGCGTCGGCGATGCGGTTCCATCCGGATTCAGCTGCAACGGCTTCCCCTAGTATGGTATTCTCCATGACCCAGCGCATGTCGACCGCGTCCCATCCCTCGGTCGTGTTCCAGCCGGTGGGACGTTCGACAGGCGGCCAGTAAGCTTGTGTTCTCGTTGGTTCGATTGTTTCGACTGCCGTCCCTGATGTAGTCTCCTCTCCTTCTTCCACTGCTTGTGGTCCCGTTTCGGCAGGGTTTGTCGTCGAGGCGACGGGTACGGCAAGAGCGCGGAAGGTGCCGTCGAGTCCGGGTTGCTGATAGTCGGTTTCTTCTGGATGGCTCCACCGCGGCGGCGACGGATGACCCGGAGGGTCAAGAACAAGGATGTGTTCGTTGTCGCCGGTGGTTCTGGGCGACTCGAAGTCAAGCACGAAGACGCCTTCCACGCTTGTCGCTTTTCCGATAAAGATCCCGTCGTAAATCAAATGCATCTCGTTTTCGGTGGTTTGCAGGCTGACTCCGCACTTCATCAGCTGGTGCAGGGACAGAAGGTTGTACCGAAGTTCCGACACGATCAGAACGTCGCTGATGTGGATGCAGTAACCGGTGTCATGTGACTCCAGCTGGATTTGACCGCGAGCTCTGGCGTAGATGGTTTGGCTGTTGGCGACAGTGATCTCCACTTCGTTGGAGAGTCGCTCTCTGTTGAGGATGAAGACATCTGAGGACACCATATGTTGACCACAGCAGCTGTCCAGGTACCATGTGTTGATCTCCTTCCTTGCTTTGGCCAGGTTGGCGGGCTTCGGAGTGATGTGATGATCCATGTCATGATCATTTTTGTAGTCGTAGTAAGCTTCTTCGTCATCGTCTACGATGCGTGCAGGTGGAGATTCCTGGATCCACTCCGGTGCTTCCCAGTCATACTGCATCCGTCCAACCGTCAGCTCGTCATAGGTCGGGTCGTTTTCTTCTTCTTCTTCAACTGATCCTTCGGGCCGCTCCTGAGGTGGGTCTGCGAACATATCTTCCCAGCTGCGGAAGTAGCGGTAGTGTCGGTTGGGGCGAGGTGGTCCACGACGCACCATGCAAGTTAAGACCTTGCTTTTCCCCTTGTCGCTTGTATTCGCAGAGAGACGTGCCGGGGCTTGGGACGTGCTGGCGACGGCTGGCGGTGACACAGTTTGGTTGCGCGCTGCGGCTCCTCCTTGCTGGTGAGCAGCGCCACCCTTCTGGTTGTTGTTGTTGCCGTTCAGCTTCCAGCAGTCTTGAATCATGTGCCCGGTCTTCTTGCAGTACTTGCAGAAGAGTCTCTTCTTGTCCGGTGGCGCTTGAACGTAAAAGGCGATTTTCTCCTTCTTGTTGCCTCGTTCGTTGTACAGGTCGATTTTCTTCTGCTCGGAGAGAAGCGTGGAGCAGAGGGCAGTTTCGCTGAGGGTTCCTTGCGTGCGAAGGAGTGCCTTGCATTGGCGCCAATCCGGGCTCAATCCAGCGAGGATGATGGTGACGAACATATCGTCAGGGAAGTTTCCGCCGCTTTTCCTGAATTGATCTCTCAGGTTCCTGCAGCGGTTGATGTATGGGCCGGCCTTCTCGCCGGGAAACATCTTGACGTTGTTCAGCTGGTTGAGCAGGCAACTAAGTGTCACCGAATCTGTTGCCATGTGGCAGGTGCGCAGGTGTTCCCAGGACTGTTGCGCGGGCGCCCACTCGTTCTTGAAGGGGCGAATGCTCAGCTGTTCTTCGGGCGACAGATTCCGGATCAGGACGGTGAAGGCCAGGAGAGATTCGTTGTAGTACTGTGACTTCTCCTGAGGTGAGCCGTTTGCTGGGAAGGGGTATGATCCGTCGTAGTACATCCAGATCTGAGCGCCCTGAGCGAGCAGTTCGAATTCGAAGCTCCACGTGTAGAAATCTTGTCCGTCGAAGGGCTTGGTAGTTCTGAGCTTCGACGTGGAGAGGAACTTGCTCTGCATTGAAGCCATTGCCTCGTAATGTGTTTGTTGTGCTTGAGCAGATCCTTGAACTCCACGGTTGTCGAAGGTGAAGGATCGCTCAGATCCAGCTCCTTGAGGATCGGGAGGTCTTCGGGCGTAACTCGAGCCGTCAATGCTCATTGGCTGATGGCTCTCCAGTGCGCTGATGCGGGAAATCAGTTGCTCGAGTAGAGCTGTGTCCACGGTTGTCGTAGTAGAGGTGACATTGGTGGAGGGTTGTACTGGATTCTCTCCAGCTTCTCCGCAGTCTGCGCCTGGCATGTTGATGCCCGTTGATGTCGTTGTGGTTTGAAACTTAAGTTATAAAGAAGCTTGTTGGAGGCCCCTTTAGCAGTTCCTATAATCCAAACTAGCTCTCATACCATGTTAGAGTAAGGACCTTGGATAGAATAGGAGGTGCTTTGGTAGAGTTGGTAGCGGAAGACTTGTAAGAACTCAGATCATAGTGAATGTAAATGACCAAGTTGATTAAAAGATAGAATACAAGAAATATAAATAGTCCTAGTCTAGCCATGTACTCTAAGGGGTACATTCCCTTATTATAACTGTTCTACAGGCAATTCTACAGTGACTCTGACTGTTGCACTACTTTCTTGTTACCGAGCCACCGTGGTCACTTGCCGCATGGGACGACTCCGAAGTTGTTGCGCAACTGTTGACTCAGGTCCAACGTCGTCAACTGCCACTCATCGTGACGACTTCCGAAAATTTCGTGCAGGTGCCGACGCAGGTCCGCTGACGCCAGCTGCCTCACAAAGTTCCGAAATCGTCGTTAAAATCGCAGCGGAATAATAACTCACGTTTAAATGTCGCGACAGCTACAGCTGTCCGTTGCCCGGGGGGAGGGAGGCCACGGTCGATCGCGACCGTTCGAGGCAAGGATCTGGCGGTGCCGAAGGAGTACCCGTAAAAGCATAGCCGCGAGGAGCAACTAACTAGTTCTCCTGGCCGGCCTACGCAACTCCTGGACCCCAAGACATCCTTCCTCGTCCCCCCCCCGAGGGGTATTACACTCTAAAAAACGGGGTAGGCTAGGAAAGTAGCTCTGATTGCTGGTGTTATGAATGAACTTGCAGAGTGCGCAGAATATCGAATAACGAGAATGGAAATTACAGAATTACTGAATGACGATACAATGAGAATGCCGAGGCCTAAATAGGGGAAAAGCTAGCTAGGCGGAGAGGTCGGGCGAGATGGCTCGGTGATGGTTGCGATTGGAGCGGAGGCCGACTCGGGAGTGGTTCGGCCGACGAATTAGGCCGATCAGGTTCGTCGCGTGACCTTCGGGATGTACACGCTAAAGTGCGAGTACAGTAAGGAATTACAATTCCTTACAGCTGGAGGGAGGTGTTGCTGATTCGGCTGATCCGTTGAGAATACATTCTGTATGATTTAACATTTCACATAAAATTTCTAATGTACAGAATATCATAGGTCGGTCTGGGTGTTGGAGCGGAAACTCAACAAGAGCTGTCAGCTGATGGAGGGTTCCATGAATCAATCATGTGCTGCGGGTTGGCTTGTATAGAACAATATTTACACGTGGGATGCAAGAACGCCTAGTGCATCGTGCAAATGCATATACCCTCCCATATGCATCTAGCATACTGTTTGGATCCGCCTCCTCACTAAACAGCTCATCCAGTTACCCTCCCTCCCATAATCCCGTCTCTTCCTCCACGTCCTCAACTCAACCATGCGCATGCAATTCTAGAGCAGTGCCACACACGCCACTCTGCCTCGCCCTCCACTCACCACTTACCCACATCACCATCCACTTCCTCCTCTTCATCCCCCCATATCTCCTTGTACTTGTGCACAGCTACACTGTTGGCATGAGGGAAGACACGCACATTGGCATCCTCCTCCTCCTCGTCCTCCTCCTCCACTTCCTCCGCCTCCTCCACTTCATCTACCTCATCTCTATCTCTATTTCTCTGCCTCGCAACAGCTAGACTGTTTGAATGTGGGAATACACGAACCCTTGCTTCTTCCGGTGTCCCCACGTCCTCCTCCTCCTCATCCTCCTCCTCGTCCTCGTCCTCCTCATCCTCCTCCTCGTCCTCCCCTTCCTCCACCTCCTCTCTCCCTCTATTCCCCACTCCATTCCGCTGCCTCGCAACAGCCAGACTGCTTGAGTGAGGAAACACACGAACCTTCGGAGTATCCTCTGCACCCTCTTCCTCCTCCTGCTCCTCCTCCCAGATCTGTCTGTATTTGTGCACGGCAACACTATTGGCATGTGGGAACACACGCACCTCTGCTTCCTCCTCAGCCTCTTCGGACCTACCCTCTCCCGATTCCTCCTCCTCTTTCTCCTCTGTCTCCTCCTCTTCCTCCTCCACTTTCCCCTCATCCTCCTCCCATATCTGCCTGAATTTGTGCACAGCAACGCTATTGGCGTGTGGAAACACACGCACCTCTGCATCTTCCTCTCCCAAGTCTTCCTCCTCTTTCTCTTCCACTTCCTCCTCTTCCTCCTCTTCCTCCTCCCATATCTGCCTGTACTTCTGCACAGCAACACTATTGGCATGTGGAAACACGCGCACCTCTGCGCCTTCCTCTGTCTCCTCAGCCCTATCTTCCCCTGACTCGTCCTCCTGTTTCTCCTCTTTCACCTCCTCTTTCTCTTCCTCTGACTCCTCTTCCCGCTCCTCCTCCCATATCTGCCTGAACTTGTGCACAGCAACGCTATTGGCATGCGGAAACACACGCACCTCCCCCTCCTCCTCTCTCTCCTCCTCCTCATCTTCCTCCTCCTCCCATTCTTCATCATCCCTTATCCGGTGACACTTCTGCACAGAGATGCTATCCGAATGGGGGAAAACCCGCACCACCACACTCCCCGTGTCCTCCTCTTCCTCCTCCTCCTCATCTTCCTCCTCCTTCTCTTCCTCCTGCCTCCCATGCACCTCCCCCCCCTTCCTCCTCTTGCATAGTGACACACTGTCCAAGTGAACTAGCCTTCTCACTGCCACCTCCTCTTCCTCCTCCCCTTCCTCTTCCTCTTCCTCTCCTTTCTCCACCTCCTTTCCCATCACTCCCCCGTGCACCCCTCTCTCTCCTCCTATTGCCGCCCCACTCGTTCTCCCCCCACTGGTCCCCCCACCTTGACTATGCGCCACGCCCCTCCCCATACCACCTGCTCTGCTCCCCACCCTTCCATCTTGAGCTGTGTGATGTGCTCTTCCCCGCCCCATACCTCCCCCCACACACCCCCTCACACCTCCCCCCAGACCTCCTCCCACACCTCCCCTTACAACACCCGCCGAACCTCCCCCTGCACCTCCGCGCATACCTCCCCTTGTAACTCCCTCCACGCCTCTCCCCCCTCCTACAGCAGGCCTTCCATTCGCCCCTGCACCTGCTGCTGAGTCGCCACCGCGCACCATTGGACGTGTATTGACCAGTGGCACACTGCCACGTGGCATTGCAGTGGCCGGCTGACAGGGAACGGTTGTGGGAGGAGCACAGATAGCGGTTGGCATAACGCGGCTTGCATGGCCGACGGGCGGTGGTACGGCGTCCGTTGTTTGCACATGCGCTCTGGGCGGCACAGGTCTTGCACGTGTGGCATGCAGCATGCTCACAGGCATGTGTGCATGGGCATGGGCACGAGTTTGTGCGTTGGACTGTGCATGGGATTGTGCATGAGTGTGAGCTTGTATGTGGGCAGTGCTGTGAGCAGCAGCGCGAGCAGACGTAGCAGCAGCAGGGGCAGCAGGGGCAGGCACGGAGAGGGCAGCGGCAGCAGCAGCATGAAGGAGCGAGTCACGGTGCAGAGAGGACCCATGGGCAGGCACGAAGCGGGCCGTGGAAGCAGGCATGGGGGAGGGGAAGGTGGGGCCGCGGGTAAGGGAACGGGGGGAGGGCTGTGGGGGGAGAGAGCGGGGGGAAGGTTGCTGGGGGAGAGATCGAGGGGAGGGCTGTGGGGCCAGAGAGCGAGGGGAGGTTTGCGGGGCGAGAAAGCGAGGGGAGGGGTGTGGGGGGAGAGAGCGAGGGGAGGAGAAGGATGAGGATGAGTTGGGTGAGTGTTGGGAGAGGGGGAACCGGGGGGAAGGAGCTGCAGGCACGGAGGCATGGGAAGGCTGAGAGGGGGTGTGACGGGGCGAGGAGGAGGAGGAGGTTTCGAGCAGGGAAAGCGGTGTGAGGCGGAGGGGAGTGAGAGGCTGGGCACGTAACTGACGCTGCTGCAAGGGCAGAGACTCATAGAGTCGCTGGGCGTTCGTCAGCTGTGGTGGTGGCTCGGGCAGGGACCGGGGATGGGCTGCTGGTGCGGCCCGAGCCTGCGTCCGAGGCTCGGTGTGGGATGGGATGTGGGAGGCAGCAGAGGAAGAGGAGGTTGGTTGGGAGAGATGGTGTGCTGGCCTGGGCTTGCTGCTGGGTGCAGTGGCGAGAGCACCAGCCGTGGCACCCCCCCACGAGTGCCATCTGGATGGCGCCCGGCTCACTGCTCCTAATGTGCTCACTGGTTCCCTCGTGCTGCCAGCACCAGCAACGCCACCACGCCCATGCTCGCTCCCATGCTCGCGACGGTGCATGCTGGCGCTACTCCTGCCGTCCGCAGCACAGGCAGCAGCACATGCAGTGGCAGCAGCAGCAGCCGTACGAGTAGGAAGGGACACCGCAGCGGGACCAGCAGCAGCAGAAGCCACACCAGCAGGAGCGGCAGCGGCAGGAAGAGGAGCCGGAGAAGGACGAGGGGGAGAGATGCGGGTGCGAGGAGAGGCGGCGGGGAGGGGGAAGGTGAGCATGCGGCGGTGCAGAGAGGCGCACTGGCTGCTGGCCTTGCGAGCACGAGCAGTGCACATGATTGCCGGGCCCCCGGTAGATGCGGCAGCAGCAGCAGCATTGAGGGGGAACGAGGCGGACTTGCTGCTGCCAGTGCCTGCCGCCCAGCCAGTAGATGGAGTGGTGGCAGGGGCAGCAGCATTGAGGGGGAGAGAGGCGGACTTGCTGATGCGGCGGCCAGTGCTTGCCGGCCCTCTGCCGTGCAAGTGATGCTCAGCGCTTGACGCGGAGGCGGTGCCGCGGGCGCAACCAGTGGGTGCCGGCACAGCAGCAGCAGCAGCAGCAGCATTGAGGGGTTGAAAGGAGGGGCCTCTTGGCTGGCTGAGCTGCTCATAGTGCTGCTGGGGGTGCTGCTGGGGGTGCTGCTGGGGGTGCTGCTGGGGGTGCCGCTGAGTGTGTTGCTGCTGCAAGTGCTGGTCGTTGGGTTGGGAGGTGGGCACACCCTCAAGGCCGTGACGAGCGCACGATGCTCCGTGCTGCAGATCACGAGCCACAGCTGTGCGCTGCTGACCTGGCATACCGCTCTGCTGACCTGGAAGACTGACACGCTGAGCTGGCACCACCGCTGGGTCACACCTTTGAAGCGAGCAGCGCTGGTGAGAGGCGGGCAGAGGCCTGCCGTGGGGCGCGAGGAGGGGTCTCTCCTGTTGCCGCCCGGTGTGATTTGATTGACACATCCTCGTTACAGCCTGCTGCGTTACAGGAACGTGTGCCTGCTCCAACCACTCCCCCACCTGCCCACCAGTTGGCATTTCCCTCTGACTGCCGCCCATACCGCCCATACCGCCCATGTTGCCCACGCCACCACTCGTTCCGTTTCGCCCCACCGCGTGCTCCTTCCAGCTACCTCCCCCCATGGCCCTATATAGAAGGGCCCTCCCCCTCCCCATCCCTCTCCCCCTCCCCACTGCCGTTGCTGCCCCCTGCACGATTCCCAGGCCCACGGTTGCACCCATTTCATCCCCATTGTCTCGCACCATACGACTCATGCCGCCCATGCCGCCCATACTTTGCATGCCGCCCACGCCGCCCATACTTTGCATGCCGCCCACGCCGCCCAGGCCAGCTACTGTAGCCGCCCTGCGGTGCACACCGGCAGAATCCCCTCCCCCACCAGCCCGCCAATCCGCATCCCCCATGCTCCCTCTGCGCCATGCCATGCCCACCCCCTCCCCGCCCGCCTCTTCCCCCCCACCCCCCAGCTCCCCCCATCCCATGCCCTCTCGCCCCAACTGCCGCTCCTTCCAGCTACGTCCCCCCACTGCCCTCTCAGCAACCCCCCTTCCTCTTTCCCTTCCCATCCCTTCCCCCATTCCCCTTCCCATCCCTTCCCCCATTCCCACTCCCATCCCTTCCCCCATTCCCCTTCCCCTCCCTTCCCCCCTTCCAGTTCCCCTCCCTTCCCCCCTTCCTCTCCCCATCCCATCCTCACCCCCTCTCCCCCTTCCCCTTCCCATCCCCTCCGCGCCCATGCTCCGCCTATTCGCCTCCCCCTCTCCGCTCTCCTGCGCCAAGCTGCCTTCACCCTGAACCAATGCCTGGTTGACACGTGTACCGAAAGGTCCCGCAGCCCTCGGCGCGCTTACCCCGTTCCGCCTCTCTTGGAAACTCCCCGTACCGCGCACATATCCGCCACTTCCGCCCAAACCTTCCCGCCAATCTTCCTCTCCACTGCTGCTTCTGCTCCCCGCGCAAGCCCCGCCCGCAACTCCCTTCCGCGCACCCTCCCCCCTGCCTATCCCCGGCGCACCAGGCGCAGTCCGAGCAGCCTCCGCAGCTTCGCGGGGACCTGTCCTACGTGCGGGGAGCCCCCGCCCCGCGGCCTGACCCGCTGCTTCCCTGAATTCTGCGCCGCTGCGCGCAACAACCTCCGCGTAAACCCGCGCTTCCTCCGCCACCCTTTCCGCCACTCCTCCGCTCTGCTCTCTCCGCACATAAGTGCGCGTTTCCACGCCTAACCTATCCGCCGTAACCCTCCGCAGGCCCTCCGCGCCAGCGCGAGTCGCTTTTGATGTCTCTCCGCAATTCCCGGCTTCCGCAAGGCCGTCCAGCTCAGTCACGCTCCCGAACGCGTGGCGCAACGCGCCTGCAGACGCCATGTCAGCGCTGCCCCCGCCGCGTGCAGGCGCTTCTGCGCGACCAATAGCAGCAGGCCAGCTCGGCGGCATCTGTCTCCGGGAATCGGGGGATATCAACGAATGAGCGGGATTCTCGGGCTGGAAGGACGAAGGCGGAATCCCGAGGTTAGGAGCTTCCGATATCTCAGCGATCAACTGAGGATACGAAGGAGCCGCCGCAGCATTACTGGAAGTAACGCCGAAGATTCGCGTCGAGGAGTGCAATAACCTGTTCAAGTTAGAGGCACTGAGCGGCTCGATGCTTTCACCCGACGCGTTGTCCCACGAATGACGGCTCACAGGCAACCGCTGAGCCGCCTGCTGATGACGCTCGGCCGGAAGCGTCGAAGCGCTGTTGAGAACGCGCAGATTGCGGGGAGATGCGCGACTTAACTCCGACTGGTCGAGGCCATCACTCGTGGACCGAGAATGGACGGCTGGATACGCGTCGCTCGGGTCGCGGAATTCCCGAGGCGCAGCGGAAGGTTCCGAGGGGGAGGGCGCGCTGGCGGGGGATTCCAGCGAACCTGACCCCGGGCGCAGGCGGAGGGGGGAGTCGGGGGACGGCGGCTTCGGTCTAACTTGCTGCGCAGAGGACGGAGCGTGAGATGCGGGGATTGCACAGTATGGCAGAGGGACGTGCGACGCTGCGGCGGCGGAAACGGCCGGGATTTTTTGGAATATGGCGCCAGAGTTGCTGGAATCGCCGCGACGAGGCGGATCTCGGACGGATGAAGTGGAACAATCCCGCGACGGATGGGTGAAGTTGGTACGACAGTTTGGTGCTGCTGCGATTGAACACGACCATTGCAACTCACGCTGCTCTTTTATCCACGAAGTTTCGTCCATTCTGTCCTAACATTTCAAGGTAGCTAGCTCAGAGAAGCAGCTGAAACGCGAAATGGGAGACCAGTGGATCTCTTTATGAGCGCGTGCTGCGAAATCCTGTGGTTTGGCTTGTGATGGAGGTCGTGCTGGTTTGCTTGATGGCTCGACACGACAATCCCAAAGCCAAGGCGGGAAAGAAGTGGGCAGGCTAGGAATCATGTGCGAGGCGAGGCAATGCTAGTGCTGCTGCTTATTCATCATTGTGGTTTTCCTGGAGGTGAACAGTGAAAGCTGCTGGTGCCCGTTACAAAAACTCCCGTGCTGTCGGGAAGCGCGATGAAGTGGGGCATCTACACTACAAAAATCTCGCCTCCTCCCACGGCAGCAAGCGCAACTCTAGCCCACCAAGAAAATCCTTGGGCCACTGGATGCGTGTGGATTACATGAAAGATTCGCAGTGGAGTGGAGTGGAGGCTTTGCAAGTTTACACCTCGCCTGCCATGCTTACTGACGCAATACACCGCTGGCTTCCATTCCCCGCTGGGCGGCCACGTTGCCGCGACAGTGGCACATTGAATGACCGTAAGTGAGTGAACTTATATGGTGAGGGGATGTAGACCTACTCATAGTAAAGAAAATCATGCAAGTACGAGCATTCCTGCTCAAAAGTGTGAATAATCTACTGCTCTAGTAATATCTTCACTAAAACGTTGCTGCAGTCTTGTTCACTTCATCCTCCATAGCTCCATATAAATTGCCACCAACCACATCGCACCCCTTATCTCCCTTAATGCTTTTGTTAACCACACCATCCTCGTCACCACCATTACTTGGACTCCTTCCGTGGAAGAACCTTCTTCACCGGTTGCTTAACTGAGCGAGTGGCTTCACGCCTCTGTTTCAGAAGCTTAGCTCGTGCCTCCTCCCTTGCTTTTACCTCTTTTTCTGCTCGTTCGTCTTCCTCGTCGTCGTCGCTCAGTGACCTCTGCAGTTTGCTTTTCGGCTTGCTCTTGGGAACATCCTTACTTTCACAGCCCTTCACCCCCCCTGCAGAAGCAACTCCACACAGTATGGAGCCCTCATTTCTTCCCGCTGGCCCGGACTGTTGCTTCCTGTCCTCCAGCGAATCACAGACGGCCTATCGGGTCTGGTGAATGTCCATCCCACCCTGCATTCTCTTCAGTGTTGGGCCACGCCTCTCTTTTTCTCCACGCTCCAAACCAGCCTCCTGCACTTCCCTCTGCCACTCTCCCATTGCCTCCACGTCCTCCTCTCCACTCTCTGAGGAGTCTTCCCCCTTCCACCGTGCCTTCTCTCCCGCACCAATCTTCTCCCCCGACCTCCGCATATCTACACCCGTACCCCCATGCTTATCCACCAGTGTGTGTCGCATGCTGCGCTCGTCACACGAGCGCCGGGGGAGGCGGCAGTCAGGGAGCGACTGGGAGGGCACAGGGCGGCGGTCGAGAGTGTGCACGCGGCGCGCAGTGGGATCCTCCTCAATGGGATCTTCCGCGAGAGAGTGAGAGCGCCACCGAGACAGGGGGCGGCGAGTCCCGCTGCCGCCAGCGTCACGGCAGTCCTCTTCCTCCTCCGAGTCTGACTGGAACTCTGCATGCTGGGGGCTGGAGAAACCTCTCGGTGACCGAGGGGAAGGTGATATTTGCAGCATTGGGTCGTCGTGGTCGTAGATCGGCTCGCTGTTGTCCCACGAGTCGCAGGAACTGTGCTGCTGGCTGCTCCTGTGTCGGCCGTCGCCGCCCCTCCTCTCCCCCCTGGCAGGCGCAGGCGAACCGCTGCCCACAGAGGTTGACACCAGTAGCTGACGTGGCGACTGCTGGTAGGCAGCAGGCGATGTCACCGGGTTGTGCCGAGGCGAGGGGATGGAGCAGGGGAAGCGGGGGGAGGCGGCGGAAGGGGATGTGGGGGACGAGGAGGCGTCGAAGGGGGAGCAGGCTTGCGCCGCAGCGCACCGTCGTCCCCTTTCCACCCTTCCCACAGTCGAGCACGCGGGGAAATCATCGAAGCTGCCGCCCGACCCAGCGGGGCCGCGCCCATCGCAACGCTGACGGCTGTGATCAACGGGCGACGCGTGGTGGGTCCGCGTCACGAACGGCTCGCCCAGGTCATCATCTGGCGCGCGCCGGATCTGACGGCTCAGCGTCCTCGTCGGTCCTCTCGCCCCCAGGTCGCCTGAAGGCTGCCGCTGCGGCGCGTGGAGCACGGGGCGCGTGTCGACAGCGGCGAAGTGAGGGTCCGATCGGCTCTTCGGTGCGCCGTGGACCGCGGCGGTTCCGCCGGTCGAGCGCTGCGAGGAGAGGTGACTGTAAGGCTCGGCGCGCTGTCCGCCAGGGTGGTGAAGCTGCAGTCGCGGCGATTCTCGCGGCGAAAAATGGTGCGATGTGAGAGATGCGACCGGCGATTCGACGGTGTGCACCTTTCGAGTCGGAATCGGGACGCGATCGAGCGAATCGCCGTGCCACGTGTCGTAATGCTGCGGTCGGCGGGATTCAGGGACATTAGACGCGGCCGCGCTGCCCAACGAGCTGGATTTTAGGCTGGGGCGCGATCGCGGCGGTGCTCGTGCGGCGGCGGATGCATTACCAGCCGCGGCGTTGTGCGTTGAGTCGGCTCTGTGATGGCGGTTCTCGACTTGACGAATCACCTTTGTCGAATGACCGGCGCTCACGCCGCTGCTGCTGCTGCTGCTGCTGCTGCTCCGGCGGACACTCGACGGCTGCGGCGATCCGAGCGCCGCCGAGGCACTCGCCGAATGAGGAACCGTGCTGACGTGTCGCCCATGATTGGGGCCCAAGGTTTCGACGCGACTCGCATGACCGCACGATTGGAAGCCAGGAGAACCCGTCGAAGCGCTACCGCTTGACCGGGAAGCCGGCAAACGCGGCGAGTCCGAGGAGGACTTTCCGAGCGATGAACTGGAAGTACGGCGCACATGATTCGGCGTCGATACGTCGCCGCATTCGTACCCCTCAGACAGTTGCAATGACAGTCGTGGTGGTACACGCCGGTGGCTCGGCATTTGCTGACGTGGCGACGCTTGTGCGGCTACCGGGACTCGTTTAGGCGGCCCCGGCCCGCCGGTAATGACCTGAAGGTTGATATCTGATTCGACCACGTCGTTGTCGAGCAGCCGCATCACTCGCTCGGCCTTCTCCGCGAATCGCTTTCTCGCCCCGTGGTCGCTACTAAGCACCAATGTCGGAGCCGTGGCGGCAGGCAGTTTCGTGCAACCCGATACTGGAAACTCGAAGACCACTGCTGTCACTGAAGCGAGAAGCGAAAGCGCTGCAAATGAGGCTTTGACGCTTTCTGCACAGCCTTCTGTACAACATCCTTCTTGGTTTGCCTCTGCTGTGATCTCCTGTTCCTGTCAGCATCTGTGGCTTGAGAGCGGCGGTGATGGTTCTGGTCTGGTCCGGGGTATTACGGCGGGGGGACGGCATTGGTGTGAGGCGACGGGCCGCGGTAAGCAGACTTAATTTCCTCCGAGGAACTGGTGCTGCTGTTCCCTAACCTCAGTCATATGGGGTCCATGTGCTTATGGTTGCTGACGGAGAGAGGAGGATGAACGTGATGTGTGATGCGGACACAAACGCGTACAGAAAGACAAGCGATGTAATGGAATCAGGGCAGCAATTGTCTCGTCGTTAGCACGCTCGCGAAAATGCTGGTGACAAATTTTGTCGTCCGGATTTCTTTAATCAGCAAATTTGCGCCTTTCCCTCGCAAACAGGTTTCCTACAAAATGGGAATCGCGAAATTCTGGGCAAATCTGATGGATATCTTGGGGGAAAATAGCGGGATGGTGTATAATACTGATCAGCTGAGCATAATACTGATCTCAGGTAGTATTACGGCTGATCTCAGCCGTAATACTACCCAGGAAACGATGACGCGTTATGAAAAATTCAGAAATCGGGATTCGGGATCCGTGAGGAAACGTACATGCTCGGCGAACGCGGAATCAGTCCAAAAAGATTTCACTTCGTTCAATCCCGCATCCATTCTGCCCATGGACTCGCGGGAAAGAACCGATCTCAAAAGGAATATCCTCGCGAAAAAACAAGTTTGACATGGTACAGTAATATGAAAAAGGGGTTTGTGTGCGTGTAGCCCTCTCATGCGGCGAGGTGAAACTGGGCTCGGTCAATTGTGAACAGATATTTCCTGCCGCCCGAACAAAAAACGCCAAGTGGAAGGACGTTGTCGCAACAACAGGTGACAAAATATATACACGTGTGAAAAGGACAACACCTGGCACAAATGTCGTGCCACTGGAGTTTTTCGACCTCAAGTACGTAAATGCAAAAAAGGACAACACGTGGCACAAATGTATTCTATCCAATTTTACATAACCCCTTCCAGTCGGAACTTTAAACAAACTACAGTAATGTTCTTAACAAGAAAATATGACTGATTCAGCAACGACTGATTACAAAGAAGTATGAGAAAATATGTTGATTGGCATCTGCATTAAAATATCCATGCTAACATGTTGTTTTCTGTGTGTCAGCTTTGCTGGCCTGGCGACAAAAGAGCATACAGTAAGCTCGCACATATAGGATGATTGATTATTGGTTCCAAATGTGCAGCACCACATCTGAAACTACCTGTATGCTATAACAAAACGGTAGATGGGGCTAATCATCTTTCCATGTCACTTCTCAGGTATGTGGAAGACATACCGTACCTTATCGTAACACAAGGCAGCAGTATCAGAAAACTGACAAGAGGGTGGGCCGCGAGGCAACCATCAGAACATGCCTCAGAACTTATGCTAGGGGGCGGAGAGAGGGGGCTGGGGATATCGTATCATACTTTCGGTGTCTTCACTATGTTTCTAAGGCTTCGCGTTCCACTCCACTCTGTCCTTATGGTACCTCGTTTCACTTCCCCTCCACGCACATCACATGTGGTGTATGAAACCTCCTTCCATCAACTGCACCATCCTCACTGTCGTCAGCACTTGGACACTTTTAGTAAAGCACCCTTTTTCCCCTGCTGCACAGCTTTGCTACTGCGATCACGACTCGGTCTCACAACCTTGGCCTGTTCCTCCTCCTCATCATCGTCACTCAGCGATCGCTGCAGCTTGCTTTTGGGCTTCTCCCTGCTCTTGGAACTTCCCTTGCTCTCACTCCCCCTCACCCCCCCCGCGTCAGCATCTTCACTTAATCTCTGGCTATCCGGCCTCCCCCGTGGCCTCGCCTGCTGCTTGCTGCCCTCCAAAGAATCACCGGCAGCAGCGCAACGCTGGAAAGAGTCTGTCTTTCGGGTCTGGCACCTGAGTTGCCTCTCTCCAAGCTCTGGGACCAAGTCTGCATGCTGCACTTGCGCCAGTATGGGCCCACGCCTCTCGGTCCCTCCATGCTCCAAACCAGCCTCTTGCAAATCCCCCTGCCACCCTCTCGTTGCATGAACGTCCTCTTCTCCAAACTCCTCTTTCCATGGTGCCGCCTGCACTTTCCCCCCACCCTCCTCGCCCACCCACCAGGTATTCTCTCCTGCACTGCTCGCCTCCCCCGCCCTCTGCACGTGCACACCCGCACCCCCATGCGAACCCCCAGGTGTGTGTCGCACGCTGTGTTCGTCACATACTGAGCGCCGGGGGAGGCGGCAATCGGGGAGCCACGTCGAGGGCGCAGGGCGGCGGTCGGGGAGCCACCGATTCAGGGGGGGAGTGCCGCTGCCATCAGCGCCATGGTAGTCCCCCTCTTGCAACTGGATCTCAGCGTGCTGGCGGCCGGAAAATCCCAGCCGTGAGCGAGGGGAGGGGGTTATCTGCAGCGTCGGGTCGTCGTAGAGCGGCTCGCTGTCGTCCCACGAGTCGAAGGAACTCAGCTGTTGGCTGCTCCTGTGTCGCCCGTCGCCGCCTCTCCCCTCCTGTCTCGCAGGCCCAGGCGAACCACTGCCCACAGAGGTTGATGTCATTAGCTGACGTGGCGACTGCTGGTAGGCTGCAGGCGATGTCACCGCGATGGGCCGAGGCGAGGGGATGGAGCAGGGGAAGCGGGGGGAGGAAGCGGAAGGGGAAGCGGGAGGCGAGGAGGCGTCGAACGGGGAGTAGGCTTGCGCCACAGCGCTCATTCGTCCCCTTTCCGCCCTTCCCACGGTCGAGGAAGCGGGGAAATGGTCGTAGCTGGCGCCGAGCCCAGCGGGGCCGCGCGTGTCGCACCGTTGGCGGCTGTGGTCAACGGGCGACGCATGGTGGTTCGTTACGAACGGCTCGGGCGCGTCATCATCACTTGGACGCCGGATCTGACGGCTCAGCGTCCTCGTCGGCCCTCTCGTCCCCAGATCGCTTGAAAGTTGCCGCAGCGGCGCCTGGAGCACGGGGCGCTTGTCGACACCGCCGAAGTCAGGATCTGATCGGCTCTTCGGTGTGCCGTGAATCGCGGCGGTTCCGCTGGACGATCGCGGCGAGAGGTTATGAGGAGTGCAAGAGGTCGGCTCGGCGCGCTGTCCGCCAGGGTGGTGAAGCTGCAGTCGCGGCGATTCCCGCGGCGACAGATGATGCGACGAGCGAGCGGCGACGACTGAGCCCACGGTCTGCACCCTCGGAATCGGCACGCGATCGAGCGACTCGCCATGCCACGTGTCGTAATGCTGCGGCCGACGGGATTGAGGGACATTCGACGCAGCCGCGCTGCCCACCGAGCTGGATTTTAGGCCCGGGCGCGAGAGCGGCGGTGCTCGCGCGGCGGCGGATGGATTAGTAGCACCAGCCGCGTTGTGCGTTGCATCGGCGGCGCCGCGATGGTGGTTCTCGCCGTGTCGGGTTGTCTTCGTTGCTTGTCCGCTCAAGCCGCCGCTGCTGCTGCTCCGGCGGACACTCGACAGCGGCGCCGATTCGAGCACCGAGGTACTCGCCGAATGACGAATCGTGCTGACGTGTCGGCCCAGGGTGTCGACGCGAAGCGCTACCCCATGACCGCGTGATTGGGAGCCATCAGGAGATCCCGTCGACGCGCTACCACATGACTGAGAAGCCGCCAAACGCGGCGAGGCCGAGGGGGGCTTCCCGAACGATGAGTTGGAAGCACGCGCATGATTAGGCGTCGGTAAGTCGCATTCGTGCCCCTCTGAGAGTTGCAATGAGAGTCGCGGCCCCCCCCGCCGTTGGCTCGAGAGTTGCTGACGTGGCGACGCTTGTGCAGCTACCGGAGCGCGTCTAGGCGGCCCGGTAGTGACCCGAAGTTTGAGATCCGATTCGTCCACGTCGTTGTCGAGCAGCTGCATCACTCGCGCCGCCTTCTCCGCTAACTGCTTTCTCGGCCCGTGGCCGCTAAGCACCATTGACGCAGCCATGGCGACAGGGTTATTGAAAACCAATAAGGCGTAAAAATCTCACGGGTGCAGCAGCCTAAGAACCGCGAAAGCAAAGTGCGATGCAAGTGATTTTCTTGCTTGCTGAGAAAACGGACGCAGCCCTTAGTACAACATGCTGATCGGTGTTGTCTCCCATTCCGGTAACCATTTCGTGGCTTGAGAGCGGCGGTGATGGTTCCGGTCCGGTCCGGGGAGATACGGCTGCGGGGCGGCATTTGGTGTGAGGCGACGGGGCGCAGTGAGCAGATTTAATATCCTAGCTGGTGGCGATATTCCCTAACCTCAGTCGGATGCGGTTCAATACGTCTTTGTGAGAACGAAGGAGAGGGAGATGTCATTTGCTGTGAGGTGCATGACACGAAGGCGTAGGGCAGCGATCGTCTCGTCGTTAGCAGCTCGCACGCGAAAATGCTTGCGAAGTATTTTGTCGTCGTTGCCTTACCTTGCCCACCAAGTGAGTTTCCCAAGTGATGCGGTTTTCGACAAAATTGTAATTGCAAATGGTACATGGGGCATTCTGAAAAAGGTTCTGGAGGAGGTCGGATGGTGAGAACAGTTGCTGGGTGCGAGCCACCCAGTTCCACGTTATTCACATCCCAAGCAACTTCCAAGTACAGTACCCGTTCACGCATCCCGTTTTCCGGTCCAGCATAAAAAATATCATATCAGCTCAGAAAACGGATTGCGGGAGGAAACGTACTTGATGGGCCAACTCCAGATAGCGATTACACCTCGTGTTCTATTGTAGGCACCGTATCATACACCGTATCCGGATTGACATCTCAATTGTATTCATGTTGCTCAACTGCTGCGCGCGAATTTGCCCTGCACGCGCCAGAAAGTCTCCACCCGTGTATTTTGCGCCAGCCAGTTGCACCCACGTTACAAGCACCCCGAGGAAAGGTGCATTGACTATGAACCAATAGTAACCACAGAAACCAAAGTCAAACTGAAGAGACCGAAGTCAAACAGTCAACAAGGAGTTACAAGTTTTTTATAAGCCCATTTTTGCTAGGTGCGACGTTGACGGAATTTGCGAAATGCCGAGAAGCACTTCAAACCCCCCTTCACAAGGCAATCTTGGGTTAGTCAAACGAGCATCACTTGTACTGTACCACTTCGTCTCGAGTTACCTTGAGGCACACTCACACTTCGACCTCGACTGATCATTTCTGTATTTTTTTTCGGTCTCGTCTCTTGTGCGAGCAGCTTCTAAGTGCGTCGGGCGATTGCCACCAGCGTTTTTCAACCTCAAAAATTTCAGTGCTTAAAGGGGCACGCGTGGCAGGAAACCCAGAGAAAATTCTGGAAAATTACTGAATACTGTTCGGACATAGGAATCTCGAGCCGATCTTCTGAATTCGCAATGAATGCTTCCCTCATGTTGCTTTTGTGTGTATGTAGGCGTGCAGGCTTGACGACGAAAAAGCGTACAGTATACTGTACACGCACGGATAGCACAGCATGACACCATGAACCACTACAGTATTTTGGACACATTTCCTCGAGATCCGTTTACCTAAACTTCTTGTTGAGTACGTGTACACCACTTCAGTCGCGCAACACTCCGCATTCCCTTTGTGTACCCTCACTGGGCAATACGGTACTTCACATGATTCTGCAAGAACCAACTTGGACGTTGGAATATTTATATCTATCCCTTTTGGACAACATCCATCCCATATTAGTTCCATTGGCCAAAGAGTTCGAAGCCTTGTTGATTACAACTCTCCACGTTTGGAGCCACACCATTCCTAGCACCACTCCATCATTTTTCAAGTGCCTTGACTGCTTGAGTGAAACTTCCTCCTCCATACCATCATTCTGTTCAGTTGTATTGTATACGAGGTAACAGTGCACATGTGTCTGTGTCGAGACTTCGAATATATAGTTTTGGGTTAGGTTTCCAGCACTTCAAACCACAATCAGCACTCCGCGATCGGCTGGCATGGAGAGTGGGGGTGGCTGCCAAGGACGAGGAGGAGCTGATATTTGCATTCCCGTTAACCACACCATCATCACAGTCACCATCATCACTTGGACTTGGAGACTTTCAGTGAAGCACCCTTTTTCCCCTGCTGCACAGCTTTGCTACTGCGATCACGACTCGGTCTCACAACCTCGGCCTGTTCCTCCTCCTCATCATCGTCACTCAGCGATCTCTGCAGCTTGCTTTTGGGCTTCTCCCTGCTCTTGAAACTCCCCTTGCTCTCACTCCCCCTCACCCCCCCTGCGTCAGCATCTTCACCGGATCCCTGCCCATTAGATCTCCCTGGTGGCCGGGTCCGTTGCTTGCTGTCATCACCGACAGCAGAGCAATGCTGAAACGAGTCTGTCTTCCGGGTCTGCTTCCGACGCGGCCCATCTCCAAGGTCCGGGACAAAGGCAGCATGCTGCACTTGCGTCCCTACGAGGCCATGTCTCTCATTCCCTCCACACTCCAAACCAGCCTCCACACCCCTCTGCCGCCCTCCCATTGCCTCCATGTCCCCCCATTCACCCTCCTCTCTCCATAATGTCACCTGCTCTTCCCCCCCACTCTCCCCCCCCCACCCACCGCATATTCTCTCCCGCCCCGGCCATCTCCCCCACTCTCTGCACGGCCAAACCCTGACCGCCATGCGAAACTGCACGTGCGTGTCGCACGGTCCGCTCGTCACATGCTGCGCGCCGGGGGAGGCGGCAGTCCGGGAGCAGCGTGGAGGGCGCAGGGCGGCGATCAAGGGAGTGTGTGTGGCAGTGGCGCGCAGTTGGATCCTCTGACATGGCATGCCCCGCTATGAGATGCTGCGGTATAGGATGCTGCGCAGCAAGATGCTCCGCTATGGCATGCTGTGCAAGGGGATGCTCCGCTACAGCAGGCTGCATGAGGTGGAGCGAGTGCGAGCGGCACCGAGTCACGGGCCCCGTGCAGGGCGTTGCAGCATGCGGAGCTGCCGACGCCTGTGCCACGCCACCACCAGCACCACCGCCATCAGCGCCACGCCAGTCCCCCTCCTCCCAGTCCGCGCCTTCAGCCCACGGCTGCTCCGACTGGACCTCCACGTGCTGGCGGCCAGAGAAACCCCTCCGGGGCCGATGCTCACGGCAGGAGGGGGGAACCGGGGGAGGTGTTATCTGCGGCGTGGGCTCGCCGTCGAGCTGCACGCTGTCCCACGTGTGGAAGCGGCTCAGCTGCCGCCTGCTGCCGCCTCCGCCATTGCTGCCCCTCCTCTGCCCCCCTCTTTCAGTAGCATGCTCCTGCCTCCGCCGTTCCATCTGCCCAGCCGGACTGCTCGTGGCGATGGTTGATTGCCGGTGAATTGCAGGGGAAATGCCGCCCAGAGAGGCTGTTGGAAGCACCTGCTGACGTGGCGATTGCTGATAGGCTGTGGGAACTGCCATGGGGATGAGACGAGGCGACGGGATGGCGCAGGGGAAGCGTGGGGAGGTGGCGGAAGGGTATGCGGGGTCCAGGGGCGAGGTGGAGGAGGGGGAAGAGGCTTGCGCCACGGCGGAGCGTCTTCCCCCTTGCGCCCTTTCCACGGTTGCCCCGCGGGGGGAATCGCGGTGCTTGGCGCCGGGTTCAGCGGGGCTGCGCCTATCGCGGAGTTGGCGGCTGTGGTTAGCAGGCGACGCGTGGTGGTTCTTCGCTGATAAGGGCGGCTCGGCCACGTCATCATAATCGCCTGCATCGCAATCGATCACCAGGGCTGCTGGCCGCGGAATCTGACGGCTCAGCGTCGTCGTCGGCCCGCTCACCCTGTCTGGACGCTGCGGCTGCGCCTGGAGCACGGGCCGCGTGTCGACAGCAGCGGCGTTTGCGGAGGGCATGACACGTGTCAGCGACGTCGATTTTGCAAAATTGGACTCTCTAGTCGCCAGATCTGGGTCCGAACCGCTCTTCAGTATGCCTCGAGTCGCGGCGCCTCCGCCGGACGAGCGAGGCGAGGGGTGATGGGGAGCGCAAGAGGCCGGCTCGGCGCGCTGTCCGCCAGGGCCTGCCGCTGCGTGGTGAAGCTGCAGTCGCGGCGCTTCTCGAGGCGACAGATGATGCGACGAGCGAGCGACGTCGGTCCGCGCCCTCGGGATCGACACGCGATCGAGCGACTCGCCATGCCACGTGTCGTTGTGGCGCAGTCTACGGGATTGGGGGACTTCAAGTCTCGTCGCCGCGGCGTCGCCCATCTCGGATTCGGATCTCAGGCCAGGCCGCGAGCGCGGCGTTCCTCGCGCGTCGGAGGATGAAGAAGCATCCGTTTTACGAGCACTAGCCGCGACGGGTCCCCGAGGGTTTTTCTCACGGGTTGCCTCCGCCGTGCGTCTCGCCGCGATGCCGCTGCTGTTCCGAAAGACACCCGATGGCGGTTCGAGCGCCGAGGTACTCGCCGAATGCCGAATCGCGCTGACCTGACCAGCGGCGAGAAACAACGAAGACTCGTCGGAGCCGTTAGGGGACCCTGTCGAAGCGCTACCGCATGACCGGGAAGCCGCCAAACGCGGCGAGGCCGAGGAGGACTTGGAGCTACTACTGAACGATGAGGCGGATGGAGTTCGAGACGCACGCGAATTAGGCGTCGTTACGTCGAATTCGTACCCCTCCGAGAATTGCAAGGACAGTCGTGGCGGCCCTCGTTGGTGGCTCGGCGGGAGTTGCTGACGTGGCGAAGCCTGCGCGCCAACCGGGACCGACCGAGTCGGCCTAGTAACTCGAATATTAGGATCCAACTCGATCGCGTTACACGGCTTATCGTTGTCGAGCAGCTGCATCACTCGCATCGCCTTCTCCGCGAATCGCTTTCTCGGCCCGACTTGCTCGCTAAGCATTACCAATGGCGCAGCCATGGCGACAGGCAGGTTTCTTGCGGTCAAAACAAGGAAAGAGTTCGGGTCGGGATAGCAGCTCCGCAAGAACTGTGAACCGGGAAAGCTAAAATGCGAAGCAGCAGCTGCAAAGAAGCCTCAGCTGCTGGGGAAGAAAGGAACAAAGGAGGCAGCCATGCCAGCCATGGCAGCGCGGTGCAGCAAACATGCTGCTTGGTTGGATTGGAATGGCTTCGAAGTGAGCTTCACTGCCTGTCACGTTACCTATATTGCGGTTGAGAATGGCGGTGATGGGTACGGCTGGGTCATACGGCGGAGAAGCAAGTGGTGGCATGTGAGGTGAGCGAGTGACTGAGGGGAAAAACGAATCTTCTTTGTTCAGATTCGGGGAGGATGGCGATCCTCGCGTGCGTGGGAGGGGGATGTGGGGCGGTCGAAGCGAAGCCAAGGCGATTTTAACGACGTGTTACTGAGGTTGAGGTAACGGTGCGATGGAACCTGGTCAGCAAATTCGTCGTCACTGACTGCTCGCGAAACCGCTTGCGACAAATTCAGTCGCCTTGACTAACACTCCCGACAAAGAATACTTGAAAGACGACGAACTTCTCCATGGTCAACAATCTCGAGCAGTTGTATTCGAAATGTTTTAGCTCCTGAAGAAACCGATTATGACGAGATAAGGAAACCTAAGGTACACGCATAATGAACCTCCCAATATCTAGATTCAATGATCCCTGCCGTATACAGCTATATGCATTGTCACGTATATCTGTACGAACATTACACTGATAGCAGAAACCTGAGATGCATTCTTTACTTCAAACTATTCTCATCAATGACAAAGCGATACTTCACATCACCCTGCAAGAACACAGCCAGCCCATCAGAAAAGTGTTGCGAACAAACAGACAACATACTGCCCAAGCCAATGTTACTTCAGTGTGGACTCTACCTTGAGTAAACGATCATATGCCCTGTTGATATCTCCAATAGCGATTTTCTCCACCTGGGGAGCCACACCATTCTTTGCACAAAACTCCAGCATTTCTTGAGTCTCCTTGATTCCTCCAATCAAACTTCCTGCTACCATCTTACGCCCTGTGATACAATGCCACAATAACAATGAGCCACAGCAAGTTCAGGCAAATGTGATTAAATAGGAAAACGTGTTTAGCATTACGCTCAACGATGCGCAAAGCAAGCCCCGCAACTCAAAAAGCATGAAACCTTCTGCTGGTTCGAAAGAGCACGAAAGCCACTCACATACGACAAATTCTCCCCAGTGTGAATGCACTCACCGAACACAAGCTGACTGGCATGGAGAGTGAAGGGTGCTGGGGGGATGCCGAGGAGGAGCAGCTTCCCATTGAATGTGAGAAGGTCGAGGTAGGGTCCCAGCTCATGCTGCGCTGACACCGAGTCTATGACCACATCCAACGACCCTGCTGCCGCCTGCAAGATCCAACAGCAAGAAGAGGGGAGTAGATGGGTTCATAAACAGAACAAAACACCGGAAACTGTGGTTGGGCGTGGTAAGAGGTACCAACACAAGAGCGTCGCAGGTGATAAGCCAGCCCACCTTCATGGCGTCAGCATCCTTGGTGACAATGAACCTGTGTGCTCCCATCACCTCCCTCGCCTCCCTCTCCTTGCCCTGGGACGTGCTCAGCACAGTGACGTGCATGCCAAACGCGCGCCCCATCTGCACTGCCACGTGGCCCAGCCCACCCAGCCCTGCCACCCCCAGGCGCATGCCGGGCTTGTTGGCGCCGTAATGCATCATGGGCGAGTAGACTGTGATGCCAGCGCACAGCAGGGGCGCTGCCACGTCAGATGCCAGCTCAGCAGGGATACAGAGGACGCAGCTGGGAGGGCAGGGAACAGAAGGCGGGGGCATAGAAAATAATACATTGAGAGGACGAGGGGTTGTGCAAGAGCATGCAGCGCGACGATCAGAGAAGAAAGGAAAAAGGATGATGATGCCGCGCATGATGAGGTGTGACAGAGGACTCGGGTCAAGGTCAGAACGTACTCTTCATTGCAAACGATGAAGGAGGAGTAGCCGCCGTAAGTGGACTGGCCGGACGGCGAGAGCGGGTCGACGGTATTGTAGGTGAAGATACACTTGGGGCACGACTGCTCCTCGTGCTGCCTGCACGCCTCGCACTCACCGCACGACCCCACCATGCACCCCACTCCCACTCGCTGCCCCGCTGCCACCTTGCTCACTTGTGCTCCGACCTCCTCCACCACTCCTATGATTTCGTGCCTGCAACGGAAAGGCACACGGAAAGGAGAAGGCACAGGATGTTCCCTCAAGCGGTGAGTAGTGCGTGGATGCAAAGTGGGTGAGATGACTGCCAGGACGAACGGTGTGGGGGAGGAAAGGCATGAGGGAGCAGGATGGAGACGAGAGGTGAGAGCTGGAGGAATGAAGTAGCAGGAGAGCACGAGGGAGTACGGAGGAGGAGCTTTACCCGGGAACAATGGGGTACATGGAGTTGCCCCACTCGTTCCTCGCCAGGTGCACGTCGCTGTGGCAGACGCCGCAGTGAGTGATGCGGATCTTCACGTCCCCGGGCCCCACCTCCCGCCGATAAAACCTCCACGGCGCCAGCTCCCCGCTCGCGTCGCACGCGGCGTACCCCACGCAGTTACCCTCGCCCTCTGCGGGAGCCATGGACGGACCGTCTTGATACTTCGATGGTTGCTGTTGCTAAGCAGGAGCTGGGGGAGGAGAGATTCGAGTGCTTGTACTAAGGACGGCGGGAGGAGAGGGCAAGGAAATGGTGATGAGAGTGCAGCAGGCCATTCCATAGTGCTTTGAAGGATTCGAAGTAGATGATAATTTCATGTCTTTACTTGAATCTGCCACGTGTCGAAGCGAAAGAGGCTGGGACGGGAATGAGAATTCCCTCGCGCAAACTGGCTGGCTTCGGGGATAGCTAGCGTCGTCAACGAGGTACGGTCGCGATGTCGTCGGGTCGATTATTCTGACTAGACATTATGCAGCGCCGTCGACATGGTTTGGGAGGAGCAAGGGAGCACGCGCGATGTGCCATTGCTTCATCTGCCTCGGCGGGTGAATGGAGCAATGCGTCAGTTGCCAAGCCGAGTCTCTAGGGAGCACAATGGTGACCTCGAGTGTGGATGAATGTGGTTCAATTGGGTTTCTACAGGTGTGAACGGTTCTTGTAAAATGCCGCATAAAACATGTGACAATGTACTCTCAAAATAAACTAGTTCGACATTCCGCAATCCAGTTCCAGCATTCCCTTAGTTGGGTACGAATTTTACACTTCTCTGTGTTACAATGTACAAGTCTGGACTCTAAAGGATCCTAAGGGCATTTTCTTATCCCAACACAATTCATGGTAATCTAATGAAGGAGCATGTAATACCGTATCGCCCCGGATATAACCGCAGGCCTATTAAAAGTGCATGCGCTTTTATCTGGAGCAATGCGCTTATGGCCGATCCTCATTTAGAAGCGCACCCCTTATAAAATCGTTACTTATTATAAGCGCACCCTTGCTGTAAATTCGTTAGTTTTAAATTTTGCACTAGCTACAAATTTCACATAGGGTGACTACTGTCCTAGCCTAAACAGCATCATATTGCCTAGTCTAGCTTTAGGCCTGCTCTACCTCCTCGTCCGATTCAGGCTCCATGGCGTTGTTGCCCCAGAACCCGTCTGCTTGTATGTCGTCGTCTACCTCTACCTCGTGGCTCAGCTGGCTTCTCCGGTGCGCCATCGCGAGATGATCTTCACTCCCGTCAAGGGCATTGCTGATGCCGCACGTGAGGAAGGCCTTCTTAATCAGGTCTGCGGGCACGGCCTTCCACGCCCGTGAAATCCACTTAAGCACCACCGCCGGGGGTGGTTTCCTGATGTTCCCTGCACCACATGAAAGGGAGTGAAGGAACACGTTAGTCCACAAGCAGGCAGACAAGCACAAGAAGGGGAGAAGGGGGAACATATCAAGCTCACCTGCAGGTGTCAGAATGTTCATGCCGTCCGCCTCAAACCAGGACTGGTACTGCTGGCGAACACTAGCTTTGAAGCTCTTGTTCACCGACACATCGAGCGGCTGGACGTCTGCTGTGCACCCCGCCGGGATGACCGCCGGCACGATGTTGAGCGCCGCGAATCTCGCCTTGACCTCCTTGGTAAGATGACCACGGAAGAGTCGAGTACCAGCATGGCGCTCCGACTCTGCACGCCGAATTTCGGCTTCAGGAACGGCACCACGCCCTCTGTCAGAACATTATAGCTCATGCATATTGTGTAGGCTATAGTGGGGTAGCCCATAAGGGGTACAACCCAATTAGGGTTATTACTTGTACCCAATTCATTCATAGTTCATTCATTCCTTGTTTCTTCTCATGGTATCGAGCAGGTTCCTCCGTGGGAACTGTTCCTAGGGCCCACCGTTTTTTTTCCTGCCCGGAGCGCACTCAGCCCCTGCCCGAGTCGCGCTCCCCTCTCTCGCGCCGCCCTAGCGGCCCCCCTTCGCGCCGCCCTCGCGGCCCCTTCGAGCCGCCCTTCGCGGCCCCTACTCCGCCGCCCTCGCGGCCCCGATCCGCCGCCCTCGCGGCCCCGATCCGCCGCCCTCGCGGCCCTGCTCCGCCGCCCTCGCGGCCCCGATCCGCCGCCCTTCGCGGCCCCGATCCGCCGCCCTCGCGGCCCCTACTCCGCCGCCCTCGCGGCCCCGATTCGCCGCCCTCGCGGCCCCGATCCGCCGCCCTCGCGGCCCCTACTCTGCCGCACTCGCGGCCCCTACTCCGCAGCCCTCGCGGCCCCGATCCGCCGCCCTCGCGGCCCCGATCCGCCGCCCTAGCGGCCTCCGGCCCCTGCTCCTACGGCCCCGGCGCCTGCTCCTACGGCCCCCGCGCCTACTCCTACGAGCAGCCCACCCGCCGAGCCGCCCAGCAACCGAGCAGCCCAGCCGCTGAGCCGCCGAGCCGCCCAGCAACCGAGCCGCCCAGCCGCCGAGCCGCCCAGCAGCCGAGCCGCCCAGCAGCCGAGCCGCCCTGCCGCCGATACGCCCAGCAGCCGAGCCGCCCAGCAGCCGAGCCGCCCAGCCGCCGAGCCGCCCAGCCGCCGAGCCGCCCAGCAGGCGAGCCGCCGAGCCGCCCAGCAGCCGAGCCGCCCAGCCGTCGAGTCGCCGAGCCGCCCTGCAGCCGAGCCGCCCGAACCGCCCTGTCCGGTAAGAGCAGCGCCTCTCTCACAGCACTGCCCTCACCCTACTGTTTGCACTGCTAGTCTACTGCTGTCATGGCTACCCCTAGTGTCCTCGCTTTTGACGCTGAGGGTCGGGCCATTGACTTTGACGTCTGGATAGATGACCTGCAGCTTTTCTTACAGTGCGACAGAGCAGACGGCCTCTCCCTCTTTGACCTCACTTCTGGTGCCTCTCCTGCCCCCGCTGCTGATGCTGACGCCACTGTTCGCTCACAGTGGGCCACGCGCGATGCTGCTGCACGTCTTGCTGTGCGTCGCCACCTACCTACCTCTGAGCGTGCGCACTTTAGCCAGTACAAGAGTGCTCAGACCTTGTACGACGCTGTAGTTGCACGCTACTCCTCCCCTGCCACTGCTGCACTGAGCCGCCTCATGCTACCGTACCTCTTCCCTGACCTTGCTGCCTTTCCCACAGTCGCTGACCTCATTACGCACCTCCGCACTAGTGACACTCGCTACCGCGCTGCGCTTCCTGCTGAGTTCTGCGCCAAGAACCCCCCCCCCATGTACATCACCCTCTACTACATAGTCACCCGTCTCCCTGACTCCCTTCGCGTAGTCAGGGACCACTTCCTCTCGGTTTGTCCCACCACTCTCACCGTTGACCTCCTCGAGAAGGCCCTCCTAGCAGCAGAAAAGAGCATAGTCGCTGTAGGAGCCTCTCGTGGTGACCCTCGCACCCCCATCTTTGAGGGGTGTTCCCCCTCCCCTCTTTTGCCCTCTGTTGCCTCTGCTGCTGCGGCCGACCTCGCTGGTTGAGAGTCGGTTGGGGCAGCGTCTACCCCTAGCGGGAGACGCCGCCCTGGCAGGGGCAAGGGGGGCAGGGGCGCTGGAGGAGCTAGCGGGGGCGGTGGAGGCGGCGGTGGAGGCGGTGGAGGAGGTGGGGGTGGCGGTGGGGGTGGTGGCGGGGGTGGAGGTGTAGGTGGCGGCAGTGGAGGCGCAGGCGGCAGCGGCGGTGGCGGAGGGAGCGGAGGTGGCGGCGGTGGAGGAGGAGGCGGCGGAGGAGGTGGAGCTGGTCGGGGTGGCGCTGCGCAGAGGGTCAGCTCCGTTGGTGGTCAGCGCCAGCAGCAGCAGCAGCAGCGCACTCGTGACGTCCCCTCCCCTCAGCAGCTCCGTGAGTGGTACACTGCACGCCAGAGGGGTGGGGGTACTGGTCCGTGCACCTACGTCCTGCGCACCGGCGACCGCGCGGGTGAGCAGTGCGGGGGTGCACACTCCACCCAGCGCTGCTTTGGCCGCCTGACGGACGCTTGGCGTCACCAGTTCCCTGAGGCCACTGAGATCCCCCGCTGGGGTGAGCTGTCTAGGGCGGGTGTAGCTGTCTTTGACCTTGACTTTGATGCTATTCTTGCTGCCATGTATACTGTGACTATTAGTGATGAGGGTGACTGTTACCGGTGTTTTCCGCCCGACCCGGGCATTGAGACTGCTGCTCTAGGTCCTGGTGAGGCTGCTGCTCTAGGTGCTAGCGAGGCTGCTGCTCTAGGTGCGTCTGCTCCCTCAGGTACTGGTGAGTCTGCTCTCTCAGGTTCTGCGTCGGCTTCGGCCTCCCACACCTTTACCCTTGACTCGGGGGCTTCTCGCTCCTTCTTTCGAGACCGCACCACACTCACGCCGCTTGGCCGGCCGGTTGCGGTCTCTCTGGCAGACCCCTCTGGGGGTCCTGTCCTTGCTCACTTCTCCACTGTCCTCCCGTGTCCGGCGGCCCCCTCTGGCACCCTGTCTGGTCTTTACCTCCCCTCGTTCTCTACGAACTTGGTGAGTGGTGCTGACCTACAGGATGCGGGGGTTCACCAGTTCACTCCTGCGAGTCAGCGGGTGACCCACTGCACGGACGCTCGGACAGGCCGACACCTGGCCACGTTTACACGTCGGCCGGGGTCGAGCCTGTACACATTGACCACTGCGTCTCCTCCGGTCCCTGCGTCTGGTCAGGTAGCTGCGTCGGGTCAGGTGTTTGCTGCAGCGTCCAGGTCTGGTCCTGAGTCTGCCCCCTGCTCGTGTCGCCTCCTGTCTCACGAGACTCTCCTCTGGCACCACCGCCTTGGTCACCCCTCCCTGCTTCGTCTCCGGAGCATGGCCTCCCGTGTCCTTGTCTCTGGTCTTCCCCGGTCCCTCCCTCCACTTCCTCCGGGGCCTGGCCCTACCTGCGTCCCCTGTGTCGAGGGACGACAGCGGGCTACCCCTCACTCCTCCCAGTTTCCTCCGACAGAGGCCCCGCTGCAGACGCTTCACATGGACGTGTGGGGCCCGGCCCGCGTCCGTGGACAGGGTCACGAGCGCTACTTCCTCCTGGTGGTTAACGACTACTCGCGTTACACCACAGTCTTCCCCTTGCGCAGCAAGGGTGATGTCACTGAGGTGTTGATCGACTGGATCCGCGCACCTCGTCTACAGCTCAGGCGGAGCTTCGGCTCGGACTTTCCTGTTCTGCG